AGACAGCAGACCAATGAGGTCTTATAACAAAGCTATTACTTAAGTATTTGATTTTAAAAGAAAATAAACTGTGAGATCCAATTCAATATGTATCTTTCTATAAAGGACAAAGCACCAGCCATTTTTCACTTATAAGATATGCTATGAGCTAACACAAAGAGCCATTCTGTGAATTTACAAAACCCACTTGACTAAACCTTGCAATGTGGTTTGGAAAGAGTTTTATACTTAAACAGAAGGTTTAGTTACCACAAAGAATTTTTTTGCTTACAACACTTAAGAGCTTTTTATGTAAGAATGACCAACATCCATAGTGTTTCACTGGATTTTTCTATCAGGAAATCAAATTTTTAAAGAACACTAATCAGAAGTAAATTATCAAAAAGTTACTTCTTTGGTGACATGTTTTTCAGCATAGTTCATGAAAACAAGCAATTTCTTTGAAAAGAGAAAATGCAAACTGAGCAGAATGCCTGATATCTTCCACGCTAACATGAGCTCTATAAATATTAAAAAGTGTTTCTGCCAAGAGTAGAGATCTCATGACAGAAAACATGAGCACAGCGTGAATCCCAGAGAGCATATGCCCAATAAATAAACACAGTCTCTACACCTACATGGAATGAAGTTTTATAAGAATACACATTTATGTGCAAATAAAAAGATGGAACACTCCACTAGATATCAAGTGTGCCTGCAATTAACTGGATTTTTGCTTAACTTGTCTCATTCTAGCTAGGAACTGTTCTCTTAAAAAGATTTATTTTTATCAGAGACACTATCTTCTCAAGCTTTTCATTTAGTTAACTTCTATTAACTACTGAAAGGGAATTGTACCGATAATGAAGGCTAAGAACCAGGAGAAATAAATATAGTGGAAGTCATTATCCTGTAGGTATTGTTTCCTAGAATTAAGCCTACTACTCTATTAAGCATTCTACACCTCAGTGTTGGGATGGGGGAAAAAAATAAGGGGTGAGGGTGGGTGCAAACTTTGTGGCTGCCAGTTAACAATCACTACACCCTGCGCTTCTCACTCCCAAATGCAGGCATTGTACAGAAACTATCTGTAGAGTAACAGTTTCTAAATATAGCATATTGCAAATCCTAGGCAGTTTCAGATTTTTTACTGTCTCCCTGCAGAATTCCTCATTTTAAAAGATGGAGAGCAAGTAATTTTGTCTGGGCTATGCATTTAGAAAACCATGTATGAACCTGTTGTGTATCCAAAGCTTGCCCAATTTGTTGCTTCATTCAGTATGCCCTTTACAAATTCCACTTCCATACCATAATTGATCATGCTCAAGTGACACATCCTAACTCCCACTGTTTAGCACCTGCCAACATACTCATCTCTTCATGTCAGTATCATGGAGGAGGTCAGAAGCCCCACGGCCAAGCAGGTGAATGTCTGAGAGAAGCCTGTGCTGGAGCAGGGTCCTGACAGGGATCTGCAGATCCTTGGAGAGAGAAGCCCATACTGGAGCAGGTTTCCTGGCAGGACTTGTGACCCTGTGGAGGGACACATGCTGGAGCAGTGTGTCCTTGAAGGACTGCACCCCGCAGAAGAGTGACCCATGCTGCAATAGTTTGGGGAGGGCTGTTGCCCATGGGATGGACTCGTGTTGGAGAAGTTCATGGAGAACTATCTCCCATGGCAGGGACCTCATTATGGAGCAGGGAAAGTATTCCCCTCCCTAGCCAGTGGGAGAAAACAACGTGTGACAAACTGGCCATTATCCCCATTCTATCTACCTGTAGCCCTAGGGGAGAAGGTAGAGCTCGGAAGGAGGGAGGGGTGGAGAGAAGGTGCTTTTCAGGTCATATTTACTTCTCACTATCTTGCTCTAGTATTGTTAATAACAAATTCAATTAATTATCTCTAATTTGAGCCTGTTTTGCATGTGACAGTATTTGGTGAGTGATATCTCCCAGTCCTTATCTCAGCTGGGAATCCTTTGTTGTATTTTCTATCCTCTGTTCAGCCATGGAGGAGAGCAATAACAGCAGCTTTGGTGGGTGCATGCACCAGGATCAACCCACTACACAGGTTCCTAATATCAGCATGGGATGCCATGACTAACACAATTCAAGTCAGATTGAAACTCAGGATTAATTCCCATGTACAGGCAGTAAGTGATGATAAAGATAATTTTGCTCCTTGCTTCATCAAGTGCATGACCATTTAACATGCAAATGTAACTGGAATATTTCACTTGAACTTATCTCATGTGAAAAGCTGACAGCAGTTACTGCTTTTTCCAATGTAGCTTCACCATTTAAGAGAATGCTTGACAGTCTGATTTCCCCCCATTAATCCCTGACTTAAAAACCCCTAAGGGAAAGCCTGTAATGAACTACTCAAATTACTTAGGAGTTAATTGTCTCTAAGTTAAGCTAACAGTCAAATGATACAGCTGTGTTTTAGGCAAAATGCTACTTCAGCTGCCCCATGGCATTCCCTCAATTCAAGTACCACAAGTTTTCCTTTCTTAGCTCCAGGCACAGCACTTGCATCAAGCCTTATTGTGGCAGAGCAAAGGTTTATTTTCTAATCTTTCTCTCACTTAACCTTCAGGAAAAGCCTGACTACCTCTGTCACAAGTGTCACAGACAGTAATGCCAAATTGTTCTGTACCAGTTAAACTCAAGGAAAAAAACACAATTGCTTTGAATGAAATAACTGTAATTCCAGAATAAGTGGAAGCAAGAGGAAAAATGTTTATTGTTTCCCCAGGTCTGAAGAGCAAGGGAAATAAAACCTTGAAGTTGCTGAATAACATATCTTATGACAATGCAAAGCTTAGTAAGCAGGCACTTAAATCTCAGTGTGTGGCAGTCAGGGGACTCAGCTTGTGTGGTGAGACGAGACAGCAATGAAACAGAAGAGCTCCCAACACTCATCAAAAGCCAGATCTACACAAAGACAGATCCAGCTTCCCACATACAGTGTGTCATTTCCTTCACTTAAGCTGTAAGTCCATGCCAGGGGGAACACTACTTTGGCAAATAAGAGCCAAGGACAGCGGGCCCCAGAAGCTTGTTCCACTATGAATTAAACAAGAAAACATTCATTACAGAGATGACAATGTAAATCTGGAAGTGGCACTAACTTACACAGATTCTTTTTACTGACACCTCTGAAGATCTGAAACTAGGTACTTTTGCCATCTCCCCCTCAGTTTCAAGTCTAAAGGTTCACAAACTGTGAAAAGCAGGCACAGAAATGTTCATACCATGAAAAAACCAAAGCAAATCTAGAAGACCAGATGAGATGTTTTTACAAGTAGTAGTCTCTCACTGAAAGTGAGAAAAAGCCAGGCTTGGCATTCAGGAAAACTTTTCCTACCAGTGAGGTTTGTGCTGGAGAAAGACCAAAGGTCTTCCTACCAGATTTTCAAGACATCAGAACACACATGAAATAAAGCCCATCCCTACTGCAGAAGAGAGTATCAGTAACTAAACTTTCCACACTGTAATTTCTATTTAGAAGTAGCTGGTTTGTAATACTCAGAATGTTTCAAATGTATCAGAACAGCATAGTGAGAAAAGAAATGTATTAAACTGAGAAGCAGGGTAGAGTATAATAGACAATAATAACCAAAAATTAAATTGAACATGACCATGTGTTTAAACTCTATCTCTACACTCAAAAATTTCATGTGATTTATCAAAGTACTCATTACAGGTGGAGAGTATAGCGGGAATTTTCATAGTAGGGTATTTAAACACATGTTTCTCTTTTATAGAGGGTTCCCACAGCATCTAAGAGAGGGAGTAGGATAAAATGAATATAACATGCACGAGAGTCAAAACTTTAAAACCTGTATTCTTTAGAAGGAAAGGGAGAAAATTAGCTTTGTTTCACCTATGATACACTGCAGAGAGAAGACAACGGGAGTTTTTTGTCAACTTAGCCAGCCTGTCACAGCAAGGAGGAGGTGACTTAGCCTATCAGAAGGTGCTGAGGAGTCCATGTTCCCCTACCACTTTCACACTGCTAGCATCATCCCTACTCAGCCTTTCAAAAAGTTCAAATTCTGTAATAGGTGAGAAAATTGACAGATGTTATAGATATGTCCAAGCACTAAGCTTTTCAGAACTAAAAGGTTGTTTAAGTCCAAAATTAAATTAGTTTTTTGTATCTCAACACTTATGTTCCAATATATTCAGATGTATTCCTGTATTTTATCTAGCTTTAAGGCAATGCCAGACTGAAAATATGAGCTCTGGTGCACTCATAATTAATAACCAGATTAAAAACTCCTAATTAGTATTTTTAACTCTCCATGCTTTATGCTTAGCATACCTAATTAGTTTGGCAACTTATACAAAGCTGCTTCATGAACACTGTTTTTCAGAGCTTCAGCCCTTCAATGCTTCCCTATAAAGGTCCTGTGTGCTGTTGGAAAGGCAGCATCACACACCAGCAAGCTCTGTGGCAGAACTTGCCAAGACTTCAGGGTTATTAGAGAACACTCAATCAGTCCATAAACTTCTGCTACTCCACACACAGCTCAAATAAATTCATAGAATCATTACAGAATATCCTGACTTGTAAAGGAACCACAAGAACCATCAAATCCAGCTCCTGGCCCTGCGCAGGGCCAGCCCAAGAGTCACACCATGTGTCTGAGAGCATTGTCCAAACACCCTGGTGCTGTGACCACTTCCCTTGGGAGCCTGTCCCACTGCCCAATCACCCTCTGGATGAAGAACCTTTTCCTAATACCCAACCTAGGCTAAAACACATTGTTCAAGTGAATTACTTGTGTGACATTCAACCATGTAAGGAAGCTACTCAAATGAACTACCTCCAAAATACACAGAAAAACGAAGTTCTTACTATAAGCATCATATTAATCTGCTGTTTAAAAACTGCTGTATTATTAACACATAAAAATGTTATTTCTCCCCTAAAAGAAATCTACTGTTCTGAATCCTGTCTCCACAACAAAGATTTCTCATGGTTATTAGTATGTTAAATAATCTTCACATACCAGTTGTGAACCATCAGCTTCTGCACAGCCAGCAGTGCATTATAACGAACTTGCTGGTCTTCGTGATGCATGTGGTTCATGACCAGCTGCTTACCACCAAGCTGTTCAATCACTCTGAAAAACAGGAGAGGAGCAAGTTTTTTGACATTACTTTCAATTCTGGGTAGCTATCCTATCCAACCACTTCTCATCCAAGGCATTAAGAGGTTAAGTTTAAATTATATAATATTTATTTCATTAAAATTATTTATTTGCCAAGATACACATCTCATCTGATGTGTTACAAATACATATTATCTTCTGTAATAACTACTGATTTTTTTTTTTTTTTAAGATTTTTTAAGAATTCACAACAGAGAGTGTTTATACTGGACTCCTGTTTGCTACTTGGAAATAAATAATCAAGAAAAGAACCCTTTTCAGAAAGGGTTATTTACTTTACACAGCTCTGGAAAAGAGTTTGCAGGGTACAGCATTATCAATTATTAGATAGGAGAGGTAGTCCCCTCCACCCCATAAATGGATGGCAACCAGGTCACTCAATTTTTTGCAAGAATAAAACCTCAATCTCTTCTGGCACTAATACAGAAGAATGCTTGTAATCACACCAAGACCTATTAAATCACCCACCTCATATATATAGAGCTTTTTGAGATTCAAACTGTACTAGAGCCGCAGCTACTCCTGCACAAGATGCAGAACTGGCTGTTAAGGTACCATTCCCAGAAAAAAGGATATGCTTCAGCTGCATCTTTCACTACAAACTTCACCACCACAGTCAGCCTTTTAACAGTTACACCAAATCCCCTATGAAATACTGATGAAACCTTGTATTGCATGCCATGAATATATTATTTCTAAATAAAACTGGTGGAAAGCAACACACTTAAAACCTGAAAAGGTATCACCATCCAGATAACTTTACATGCAGCATTTCAGTCTGTCATAACAGTAAATTTGGAGAGAATTTGCAAGGAATATATAAGCTGATTTACTCACTGACTTTCATATGGTTTTTTACAGCGGTTCTCTCACTTAGTAGTTAAACATGCTATCCTGTGAAGACACTATCATTTGCTTTAGAGGCTTAACCTGATGTTGTCCTGCCATTTAAAGCTTACATTAGCTATCTGCATGTACTACTGCTCTTTTCATGGCCAGATTAATACATTGCTGCTGCACAACAAAATGCATTTCTGCAAACTAAAGAACAGGTATGAAGACATAGCCTGGAGATGAAAAAGAGAATTTTCAGTTTCATTTTCTAATTCAGTCAAAACTATCCTTAAGACCACAGGGAATATTATTTCCCAATAATATTCAAACATCTTTTCCATAAAGCAGGAATGGATTCAGACAAGTGCAATTGTTTCAAGCTGGAAAATCCTTGCCAAGAATTCAAGAAGTTATTAGTAATGTAACAGATTAAAAAAAACCGTTATGCCTGCCTTATGCAGCCTCACCTTTTTAATAAGTTAAATATAAAACCACTGCACACAAAGGCAAGAGTATGAAACATAAATAATAATTTTTTTCTTTATTAAAGGACTGACTTAAGCCACTGGATGTTCAGGAAGTCAAAGGATGTGAAAAAGGCATTAAACTCAAAAGCTTCCTTATGATAGAAGAATGCAAGAACCAAAATGAAAGGTTAAAAGCCTATAATCACAAATGGTAATAGGCTCTTTCAGATGACAATACATCACTGAAATTATGGCTGAGAACATGAGGAGTTGAAGAACAGCATTATCATTCTTGCATAATGCTGCCTACAGGTACAGATCACTTCCCAGCCATGAGTTTAACCCAAAGGTCTAAACAGTGAAGAAGGTTCACAGTGAATCATGTTCCTTCAAGTTCCAAACGTGTCCAAAACACTACATTTAGTTTCCCCTCTCCTCAACTGCTGCTTATTTTACAGAAGTAATAGAGCCCAGTGTTACAGTTATATGTGCACATCTTCTGCAGTGACTGCTCCCCATAACATCACTGCACTAAGCCAAAACAGTGTCATTTCAAAAAAGTCTCTGGATGCTGAAGATTCAGGTTTTAACATGACCCATTTAGAGGGAGAAAGAAGACATAGCAGATAAAGACAAATGAATGCAATTTAGACTGTTATAGCAGAAAACAAATATAAAATCCACACTACTTATCTTTAAGCCAGGATGAAAAAGGGAATGCAAGTTTTTTTCTGAATCCTGAGCTAAGGAAGAGAATGGCTCTAGGTGTCCATCTCTTAAACATGTAAAACACAAAGCCCACATTCATAGCATTTAAGAAATTCTAAGTGTTGATTGTACATAACAATAACCTGTAGGCCACATGGAAGCTGTGCTGGCAGTCTGCATTTTTAATGTCAGGAACCAAGAGTGCTAAACTTTATTTCTGATGTTACACTCTCAGAAAATGCATCTTTGTGAGCCTCATGAGAAGCCCACAGTGATACTGTCTCAACAATTTCGTCCACAAAGTGTAATTTTAAAAGCAACTTAAAATTATTTAGGCATTGGAGAACAGCCATAAAAAAAACCACAGGATCTTGTTAACAAACATTTCTTTTGTCAGACAAAGGGAAAAATTAGCCAGAACTGTAGCTCTAGGTCTCCACTGTGCCTAGCAGGTGAAGTTAAGTAGTTTTAGTATCCAATCCATCTCTGCAATCTTCAAAGGCTAAAGGATGATCCAGTTAGGGTTCACAATAAACACTTAACAGAAACAGAAGTATTTAGGACGCCTGAATTCTTCTACTCTTCTAAACCAAGGAACTGTATCCGTTCTTGGAGTGAGTCATGCAATGACAGATTAAAATACCAATCACATGTGGGAGCAGTACACAACTGTGTACGAAAAAAACATAAGAAATGGATTATTATGCTGGAATGGACACACAGTCCAGAGGCATTTTAAGCTTTTAGTTAGTTCCAAAATTGCTGAAATCGTATTTGGTAAGAATACACTGGATTACAAATGAAATTCTTTAAAAGTTTGTTCAATGGAACAGAAAGTTAAATAAGCCAAGTCTGTAGACAGAAAGCAGCTAAAGTATTAGAATTTGAGATAAGAATGTGGGTTAGAACAGTATCTAGGACACTTTTTATTTGCTGATGACCACTTCTTTTGAAGGCTGGCACATTGCTGAATAGGCTTAACAGCCTGGGAACTAAGTGGAGCTGCAGTCCTAACAGCTATACATTTTCCCAACCACAGACAGAAGGATACAGGTCCTGTTTATCCACTCTGATTTCATAGCTTTGCACCAGCAACCACATGGCCATACTAGCCCACACATTCAGGTAAATGCATGCTAACTATTTCAAGATTATGGCAAATATGTAATAAAATAATGTCATACAAAGAGCAGGTCAAAGCAGGAACAACCAGCATTAGCCAGTCCTCCAGCTTTGCCACTTGCAGCACTATTAGTTTCCACCTTACTGAAGGATATCTTGCCTCTCCTTCAAATACCATGTCAGTTCTTACAAGACTACAGGGGCTGGAATCAGTACATCTTCCTAGCATATATATGGCCTGAAGTTTCAGTCTGCTGTCTGTGATTCTACTACTGTCAACACAGCAGTCTGCACAAGAAGAGTTCATGAAATTCCCAACAAAGCTAGAATGCTGTACTCATCTTATCTATTGAGCTGGTTTTAGCTGAGGTAGTTGATTTTCCTCTTTGTACTAAAAGCAGTGCTGATTTCATTATTGCTGAGCAGCATTTGTACTGCACCAAGGCCTTCTCTGCTCTTCACCCCTCCCTCTGGGGGGGGGGGGGCTGCAAAAGGACTTGGGACAGGACAAAGCCATGGAAGCTGACCCCAGCTGCCTAAAGGGATATTCCATACCATATGGCAACATGTTAGCACACAAAACTGGGAGGAGGAGAAGGAACAGGGGAAGCATTCAAAGTGATGGTGTTTGTCTTTCCAAGTACCCATTATTCATAATGAAGACCTGCCTTCCCTGAGATGGCTGAACACCTGCCTGCTCACGGGAAGCAGTGAATTAATTCTCTATTTTGCTTTACCTATTAAATTGTCTATATCTCAACCCACTATTTTTCTCACTTTTACTTTTGTTTCTCTTCCCCCATCCTGCTGTAGAGAGAACAATTGGCTATATGGACCCTGAGTTGGCAGCTGGGGTTAAACCATGACATCCATTAAATCCTGTGCAAAAACCAGGAACAGACTGCTTCTTTGCTACAAGCATTTGTGTAAGTGATGAACCAGTTTCCTGCAAAAACCAAAGGCTTCTTTCTGCTTCAATGGTCTCTACCTTAGAAGTGCAATTACTCAGTAAACATCTTTCCTCATAGGTTTTTAAAGCAGGAAAATATAGCAATGTCCATGTGTACTTCAACAGGAATTTGAGTTTATAATGAACATGAAAGCTTTCACAAAAATGAATATTTGTCTAGCTAAAACATGCTTAAATGGAAGAGTGAAAATGAATCTGTGCATCACTGAAATTACACCAGCAATTATTCGTGGAAAAAAATTTCTTTGTAGTCTTAAGTCACAAAACAGTCTTTAGCTGGAATAGTCCATGTCTACCCCAAGTCCAGTAATTACAGTCCAATTAGTCATAGAGAGGAAAAATTATATGTTGAATAAACTCTTGATAGTTCCTCCAATTTCTTCTGGTACCTGGCTTCTCCTTTAGTCTAAACATTGTATTCAATACTTTAATCATTGGTTCCCTTTACAGTTAAGAGACATTGAAATCCGTTAAGTCAGAGATCCAGTCTGCAGTTTCTCATCTGATCTAGTTTGTGTTTCCTTATCTTCCCAATAAATAAAACTTAAGCATAACCTGCAATCCCTTTGCAGCATATTTTAATATAAATAAGCAGAAAAGGCCACAGGCACAGTACACACTCCAGCTACCTTCTAAGACAACAACATACTGGCACTTTCCTACCGTTTCCCACGGGGATAGTGGCGTACATATTCTCCCACGTCATGAGCAGCTACAGCCAGCACTTGTGGATCATCAGAAACTTCCAGAAGTTTTGTCAGGATCCTAGGAAAGAATGTGAAACAATGAAGTCCCACATTTTGGGTTGGTTTTTATTTTTTTGTTTTGGTTTTCTTATTTGTTGATGGGTTTTTAATCAGTGATAACTTAAAAAAAAAAAAAGCCCTTAAGCATAAAAATGTTTTACAAGTCACCCAAACAGTAAAGCTAGAACTTTTTCCAAACAATGCAGTTGTACTTAACAAAACTGGGAACCTGCCCTAATTAACAAAATTATTTTAAGTATTCACTAGAATCAGTTTAGTGAACTACATACACAAATACCTATAACCAAGGATTACAAAATCTCTCCTTTTTTTTTACTTTGGCTCCAAGACCAACAGTTCTGAATTCTAAATAAGCTTCATTAGAAAGCAGTTCTTTCCTAACTCAAAGACTGAGATGAGAGCTATGCTCCTTGCAAATTACTCCAGTGCCACATTATTTTCATAGCATGCATAGAAACACCAAGCTGTAAGAAGCATAAAACAGCTTCTGGACTCTTAACACTGTCTGAGTTTTTTAATTAAGTAGTTAAACCACCTTTAGTGAAAAACAGCTACAAGTAACACTGCTCTCTAGATAGCAATGAGAAGGGAGGAAAATGACACAGATTATGAAGGTTAGACACAGCCGAAAAGGTTAAACATAGAGATCACTGGAAAATTAGAGTATTCTATGCTTAGTGAGATGACAAATGTGTTCTAATCAGACAAAGTTAGAAACAAGCTGAAATCGGTAGGTTAAAAATTCAACTGGAATTTAAAAAAGGAACATGCGGGTAAAATTAAATTACCACAGCCATTGTCTCCCTAGAGGCCAGAAAGTGACAGGAAAACCACTTCTCAAATGAAAAGAACTCCTACTTTTGACAAGAAGAGGAAGCAGAAACTTGAACCATAAGACTAAGCAGAAGACACCAAAGAGCCATATAATGATGATGTTGGGCTTATATTTTGTTCAACAAGGCAGGTAATAATGCAGAAGGTACGAAAACAATTATGTTTAACAGTAGTTTGAGAGTATTAGATTTAGAAAACTAATAAGCAGGCAGATAAGGAAAAAAATAAAATTATATGGTTCAAAGCAAATAAGACTTGTTTGTCAAATGCTTTACAAGGCAAAAAATGAAGTTCTGAGGTGCAAGAATCTCCCCATTATGTTGTGGCGGAGGGTGTTTTTTTGAGGATTGGCTTGTTTGGCTTGGTGTTGAGTTTTTGGGGGATTTTTTGAGAGTTGGAGGTGTGTCAGGAACTACTGAAGATTACTGTCTTTGCAGCAGCAAAAGTGCAAGAAAGTCCCAGAATCAGGAGAAATAAATACAGCAAAACATTGTAATCAGTACAGGAAATACTAAGCCTCAACATCAACTTCATGCCACAGTTGTCAGCATCTAAAATTTTTAAGTCTATAATCCTACATATTCAACAATATGCACACAGGGAAGAATTTATCAGAATTTTTCTAAGGTGTCAGGCCAGCTGAAATGCACGTAAAGCTCAGGATCACCTTGCTCTTGCCATGTCTTTTAATATCTCACATGCTCCATTTGACCTCCTGATTTCTGTTAGATCTGGCACTTATTAGCAAGCCCTGAACTGGAAGAACACCATGCATTATCAGTTAATGGCAAGAGCCAGGCATCATTTCAGGACACAGTTTCATATGCCAGACAGCCAGTCCTCAACTGCAAATAAATATGGTTCAGGCTCACTTCATCTAACAATCTATATACTCCAAACACAGTTCCAACACAAAACAGACACATTGCAACATAATGCACTGAGTCAAATTTCTCATGGAACAGTAACACAACTTTCAACACCAAAATATCCAAGACAGAAGTTCATTACTCAGATCAACATCACCACACAACACAAATCTAAGATTAAGATACAGCAAAAACACTTTTTTAATCTAATCAAACCTACATGCAAGTTAAACTAAAGACATTCCCTCTATCATAAATACATTTTTACCAGTAAAAGCAAATAAACAGTTCTGGTTTTGAACACAGTAAACTATACATTCTAAAATAAGCAGGATGTTTTGACTTGCTTTCATTCTTGACTTTGTGTTAAAATGTAAACCTTTATTAGATTCTGGTTCATTTAAACACAGAAAATACTAAAGGATCACATTATTCAAGACTTGAAAACTTACTTGAGTAGTTCATAATTCTTCTCATTTAGTCTTACAGCATTCTCCCGCCAAAACTTCTCAGATTTGTGCACAGGACTCCACTCCAGTCTTCCTGACTTGAGCTCAGAGCTGTATTCATCAAAGGAGCTGTAACACAAGACCTAAATGAGATATTGGCCAAACTTGTACAAACACTTTGAACCATATGCCCAAGCCTGTCCCTAACGAAGCTGGAGCTCAAATTGCTATGACACATTTGGAAGTCAGTGCTCTGCAGAGTATGAGAATTGCTCCCTGCCTCACCATTTGGTAAATAACAAAATGCATGAGAGGCAATAAGAAAAAATTGTTTTCAAACACAACCCTCTATCCACCCCAAAACTATTCCCAGAAAACAAATTTAAAAATAAAAATTAAAAACCCAACCACGCAAATGTAACATTTTGGAATTTAATTCTCTGTTTTTCTGGGTTTTTATGTTTTAACTTCCCCAATCTAGATTTCAGTCTACCTTCCATCCACTTAAACCTTGGACACTACCTACAATATGCACTTCAATTTAGGCACAAGACCAAGAACTAGGTAAACACTAGCAAAAACTCGAGTTAATCTGGACAGTAGAAATTATTCTAATCAGGTAGACTTCAGTTTTGACTGGAAATCCTTTAAGATCACTTTTGAGTCCTTTAGCAATTTCTCAGTTACAAACATCACATTTATAAGTGAAGACTTATTTCTATTTATTTTCTATTCAACCTCTAAATGCTGACATACAATAGGAAACTAGCAACCAGCACATCTCTGTATGCTCTATTTTACTAAATAGCATTTACATATTATAATTCTGTAGATATTTTAGCCTTACAAAAGAAAAAGGTTCTACCAACATTCACATAACTGCTTTTTTTTAAAGTGCACACTGCAAAGCATACCTAAGGTCCTGCACGCTCTCACCAAGCTTGTCCAGTAGAAATTTTATATCTTCACTGATGTCTTCATCATCATATTTCTGCTGATCCAAATTCTCTAGCTGCTTTAAAACCTTACATTGAATCATGGCAAGAGCATATTCTTGGCGAGTTTCTCTCTCAGTAGATTTCTCTAACAAATTCTAGGGAAGTAAAGATGTATTTATTTTGTTTAAGAACAGACTACTTTGAAACAAAGTATTTTAAAGAAATACTCTTACTGGAACTTTTTTCATTACTAAGTGACAAAATTGACCACTTCCTGAAAGCATCTCTTTTTTCAGTAATAGAAAGTACTAGTTCACCTGTTTTGAATATTTTCCACATGAAACTGAGTTGACTACAAATACTATTCAAAGAAAAAGGGCAGGCTTATATCTCAAATACCAGAACACCATAAACAGCCACTTTTATCTTGGATTACCATTTTAGCTTTCTGTGCAGCAATAGCATAAGGCAGAGAGCCTTTAAAAAAATAACTTGAAGTCTTCTTTCCAAATCAAAGTTACCATCTGGATTAGATCAGCTCTTTTCAAGTTTGGGAATATTCCAACTAGACATTTTTATTTAAACAGTAGCTTGTTGGTAAGATTGGAAGTATAAGCACAGAATGCAGTAGTCAAGTTCCAATATCATTTAGTCATTACATTTCTACTCAATTTTATCAGCTTTCAATTATAATTTTCAATTGCAGCTGGCCACCTGCACTTTTTGATAAAGCTGAAAACATGAATTTCATACAAAAGACAAAGTCCTTAATAAACAGAACACATGTTCATATAAATAGGATTTAACATCTGCCAGAAATAAGCAGTGAAACTATATAGAAGGAATTTGACTGCATCACTCTTGTGACAGAACTATTACACTTAAGGTTATTTTATATCAGACATCCTATTAGTTACTGAAGCAGAATACTGTAAATCAATTTTAAAACTTGAAAACTAAATATAAGTCAAATTACTGCTTTTAATGGCCATATATAATTAGCTTTAATGTGCAAAAAAAAAGGCACCCCAGTTTCTACTTCAGTGAGTGAAATAGAAGGTAATTCACAGAAAGGAATGCTAATTAGAGTTAAAATTGCTAATGAGAGCAAATGAAAAAATAATGAACCTTAAATAAGACAATTCAACAGGTTCAAGGAGCAGGTGGATAAAGGTTCCAAAGAACTCCTAGTTAAGATAATGGCAAACAGATGTGGAAGCAATTCCAAATATTATTACCTATCTATACCATAGTGAGATGCTCAAGCTCTTCATAGTGAATTTGAAAGGATATGTTAACAAAGTAAAAACACAAATATATGACTATATAGAATGAATCAGTAAACCATTCAGTAATAAAATCCAAAATCTTAAGGAATAAGACTAGCTCTACGAAGGAAACAGATGTAAAAGGGGATAAAAGTATGAAAAATGAGGGGATAAAATAATAGGTAGAGAAAACAGTACATTCAAAGAGAGAGCAGTGCCCAATACTTGTTGCTCTATAGAAAAAAATACTACATTTGCAGTTATATACTTCAGGCACTAAACTTGATAAAATGGTGAAATATACTCAACTTGAGTATATTTCACTTGAAAGGTGAAATTCTCAACTTAGGAGAAATAATAGAGAGGACATCTAAGTTGCCGAGACTCATGGAGCACTTTCCATAATGCATAGATAGATTAGGGAATCATCCAGCCTAGTCATTTATTCAATTCCCCCCCCCCCCAGAAACTGTGGCATCTCATACAGGACAAGGACTACTTTTCCTCTGCTACCTATATTAATTTTGTTTCAGAACTCACAGCTCTGATGTCTAATTTCTAATCTATTATGTTCCTGGCTGCCAGTTAACAACTCATCTTCACGCCAACACAAGTCCTTAATGTTGGAGAAAGGAAACAGCTAAGTTACACTCCCCCAAGCCTGTAACAGAAACAACTTATTCTTTCTTAGCCTTTATTTAAAAAAAACTTGAGCTTCATTTTTGTCTCCTCTTGCAAAACACAGTAGATCTAAGAACTAGCAATTATTTCTCCTATTTTTTATGACCTCAGAATAAGAAGAAACTGGATATTAACTGCTGAGCTTCTCAGCTTCTTTTTCTCTTTTAAATTTTTTAATTTTTTTTTCCAATTTGTCTTGCTATATGTCCCTGCTTAATCCTAACATTAAGATCTTTAAGAACACTACAAGATCTAGAGATTAAGAATAGTAAGAATATATAGTAAGAATAGCTCCAACTGATTTCATACCACTGTTCTCCTTCAACAAGACAAACAGCAAATTCTTATGCTCTGCTTTATCCAGAAATATTTCAGTGGCAGATGTTTCCAGATAGAGAGACAGAGTAAGCACCTTCACACAGCTTATCATTGCTAATCAGCAAATCAGTAATCAACAATTTCCCTCTCCCCATTCTAATATGCTTGAACACTTACTATTGGAACATCCAGGAAAACAAACAGCTTCCAAGACCTGCATTTCCTACTCAGGAATACCAAGTGCTGCTTGAAAACAGCATTACAAAGTTGTTAACAGCTTTCCTGTATTACTCACAAGACACTTGGCAAACATGCACATAAAACTAGTAGCATCCATGAACCTAAAATGGTACTCTCATAGTAAAAACATCAAGCCTAGGAACTCAATTCTTCCTAATTATCTTATATAGGAACAGGAATTTTCAGGTAATGAAGACACAGTAATTCAACTAATCACTCTTACATGGGTATTCTCATCTGCCTTTACAGAGCCACCAAGAAAAGATTTTTGGACTAGTAAATAAAAATAAGTTCTCAGTGGGAGAACAAACATATGCATTCAAAATAATACTTTGTTAATTAAAGCTTCATAAGATAAAATTTATCAGCTATTAATAACTCCAGGGTTTTACAGTAGTTCCAATAGGAAAAAACCTTGAGGTAAAAAAAGAGAAATCACTAGTGCCTGTGTTAACATTGGTCTTTTTAGTCAAGCTTATTATAAGAAGGCATTGACAAGCAGATATCTATTACTAGTAATAACCTATGTATTACCTGTAGCAAACATTCAAGTTAACAAAAAGAAAAAAAAAAAAGAGGAAAAAAAAAAACCCAAAAAACCCAGAGAGTTAAGCTTTCAATCAGCTTATTGATATGGTCCAGCAGAAATAACTGTTCATCAGGAACATTTGAGACCTAGGAATCTGCAGGAGAAGCACAGCATGACTGCAGTCAACAGGTACTCACCCGAAATGCTGCGAGGATGATCCTGGTTACTTTCTCTTTGACAGATTCCTGAAGAATATCCGACAGCACGGGGACAATATTGTACCGACGAAGATATTCACACATTTGAGGGCTAAATGCCAGCAGCCACACACAGAAAATCATCTGATACTGCAGCTGAAAACCGCATTTGTTGCTCAAGACACCCATGATGCTAAAAAATTGACATAGTGCACATTTAGTTTTTAAATAATGACTACATAGGTTGCATTGCTCCAATCTGAAATGTTAAAAGAAATGGTAACACAAACTTATTGGAAAGAGCTGCTGAGGATGAGCATACCACACACATTTCACAGTAACCTGCATCACTATTTATCATTGTATAAGCAGCTTGTTCAGAAAGCCATCTTTTAAAGAGATGGTTTTTTTCACATTAGCCTTAAAGCCATAAAGCAGCTTTTTACATTTGAACTGATGTGGTACTGTATCCATCTTCTGGTTAACCAAGACAGGTTTTCTACTGGTATGTTTAAAGCATTATTTGACATTCTGGAAGAAACAGAGAAATCTCAACTACTCCTTCAGACTTAAGAAGAAATAAATTGAACAAAATCTACACAAATTGAACCTCTTTCCTTAATTGCACTTGTCCACAGGAGTGTCTGAAATGAGCTGAAGTATTCATTATTTAACAGCAAGTTCTCAGAAAGTGTCTCATAGATACAAATATACAAAGTACTGCTAGAAAAATAATAGCACCACAAGATCTTCAGGAAGACATCATGCAGCAGGTTTGCTCAGCTGAAGTTTTGAAAATTTAATAAGCAATTTACAGGTCAATTTTGAAATACATAACTCAATTTAGAATTTAAAAAACAATCTACATTCAAAATCATTCTTAACAAGTTTAATACCAGTTCAAACATGGTGAAACACAGGCTTGTAATGCTTTAATACTTGATTAAAAAGCTTCCTTGATTTCAGCAGTGTCACCTTGACACACAGGAACATCACCTGAAATTTTACTTCACTAAGAATTTTGACTTTTCTCCATTTCAGTGTAAAGGGATATTTTTCATTAAGTGGAAATTATGTATCAACCATCCCCAGTAGAGGCACAGATGGCAGAAAAATTATTTATAGGCAAGCAATTTTTAAATAAGATTAGCGCTGAAATCCTAGCCTAATGCAAAGCTATTTATTAGGAGAATTGGATAAAAGAGTGACCTACTTGAAGCCATATGTGGAAAAAATTACTCTTAGCTCTAGAAAATGTTTCTCCTTTCACTAATATTTTCAGACAGAACAATTCCAAACTCAAAGACTAGGATGATGAGCAGAAACTCATTTTGTTAGTCCTTGTTCTACTAAAAAATAAACAGAACATCTTCAGCTGAAAACAAATGGTTATATTACTGTTCAGATACATACTTAAGCAGTTCTTCTTGAACAGAGAAGTTGCACCAATGCCTCAAGAGTGCAAGTTCCATTTGTTTATTTGACTCTGTTAATGTCTGAAAACAAATCTCTTTTGTAGGCAAACAGAACAGCTGTCTATTACAAGAGAGTTCTATTCCAATGAAAGATCACTGGGGAAAACACTACTAAGTGCATGTATATCCATATAAATTGAAATAGGTGCTCACCAATTTACTCCATCTGCTTCTACCCATGCAAAGCGGTATTCATTGACCCTGAGCATCAGCTGCAGACATCCAGCAACACATTGTACGTACTGGGAACTCTGGGTGAAAAGAACAGCACTTCTTACCAGAAGAGTCAGGTAGTAAGAGTTGAAGTACAGTTTCCTTAATTAGGCTTTACTGGCATAAAAGGAGAGAGTTCTGAATATTAAAGAAGTGTTATGCAAGCAATACCACTTTACATTATCAGAATATTTGAACATGCCTTACTTCAGTATCTATGAATGAAAGCTGTCTTCTGTTTGAATAAAGTTGCCAGAGCATGTTTTTCTCTCTTCTTACTCAATTGTCAGCATTACCTTCACTAATTCTAATCATACATTAATCAGATATGCCACTGATAAAATCTTGTTTGCTTTTTTCCTCCCTATAAGCCTTTTCCTTGAAATTCTCACAGTAGCTCACTCACATAATACAAATTCAAACCTTTCAAACATTTAATGAAGTAAAGAAGTTAGGCAATCCCATATGAAAAGAAAGGAGGCAATAAACAGAATTGAAAATAAAGAGTAACTCATTCTGTGTCTCTCATGAGAGATTTAAGTCCTTTATGTAAAAGCTAAGTCAGTGCATCTGGGCTCAAATCATCTAGAAGATCAATTTCCCTGTGAAAATGTTCATTTTCACACTCCATGAAAATAAAACAGCTACAAACACACAGACAGCTCTCCCACTCCAAATAATGCATTAATTTATCTGGATCACCAACCCATTGAATTTGGAGTTTTCTTTAAAAAGAGTCTGTCATAAAAGCATTGTCTTCCAACACCATTATAATTGAAATTTCGTAATAAGATTCCAGTTCTCATTTCCTGTATAAAATGCTACAACTGCATCTCTAATTTACTCTGAAATTAGCCAGGATCTGCTTGAAAATCCTGCATAAGCTAGATCTGAAATCCGAACACTAACGAAGTTAAGACAATACTTACCCACTTTAATTATCTAAAACATATTTGCACTCTACTGCTCTGGGTCCCTGCCATAGCACAGTACATCCATGCAGTGCCACAGTGCAATGAATAATGATTTCTGAGCACATCAGAAGAGCTCATGGCTTCACAGTAAGTGCTGCTGTGTGCTGCAGAACTATATATTCTTTTATGGCTGTGTGACAGAGGGCTGTCAGTCTAACGAAACCTAACACTATGGAACACAGATCTGCACATGAAATACTGAAATACTTCAACTTATATGCTCAGGCCATTGTTTTATGCCCTACCCATAGTCATGAACAACAGTCTGGCATATTTTCTACTTTAAACCCCAGATGGGCTTAAAGTAGAAAAAAACCTCCTTTAAAGACCTCCACGTGTAGAGGAGGTTTCTCCTCTACAGGAAGCTAACACTTTAAAGCCATGACTACACTTTGAAGAACAACAAATCCCAAGTTAAATCTTCTGAGAAACTGTGACCACTTTCAGGCTGCAAAACAAACAAAAGACCAAACTGAATTCTACTCCACATTTGAGAACTACGATAAACTGCCTCATCATGCCACAGCACCACAGAAAAATCCAGTCAGGATGATCACTTGCATTTGTTATACTGCCACAGTTAATCTCTGTAAAAGCTCAGCAGCTTTTACAGCTACATGAAATTCAGTATTTAAAAAATGTTGATGCAAAAAGGACAATCTGTTTCCCTCTGAATTCAAGCTATTCAGATATGAAAAGCTTACAGCTTTGAAAGCACTCCTGCAATTTCATGCTACAGTGGTTTATGGGCAATATCAGCTTTAATATCTGATGTGCCCTTTTCTGAGTTCTGCACAGCACAACAGCCAAAAGCTTCTCGGTTTCAGGTTTCTTCTACAAGTCCAACAGTGGTAAACAGACAATACTGAATCACAGAATCATTTGGGCTGGAAAAGACCTCTAAGATTACCAAGTCAGGGACTTAAAACTGTTTGAATATTAAATTAATTCTACATAATTTTTTCAAGTTTTAACAAAGAAAATCCTAGATACATCAACAGATTTAACAAGACAGACTAACTTGTAAAATATACACTTCCACTGCCAATATTCTATGTGAAATGAAGTGCTTAAAAATACTTTTGTTTCTTGGCGCCATCACCTGGCACTCTGCTGTACAGTTCTGATTCCAAGTACTTCTTATCACTGGCACCAGAAGAGATCTGCACCTTAATCCGAGGAGTGAACATCACCTGCCCAAAATAGCAGATTGACAGATTTCAAAGATATACTCACATCACTTGTGGAGACTGCTCCTGAATCCACAGAACCCCCTGTACCACGTAGTTTCTAGGAAAAAAAAAAAGTTTAAAATCAGAGTTCAAAATCAAAGTTTAAAATCAGACACTCTTCACCCTTAAGGAACAGCTGTTGCCAAGTTTCTTTCAGTTCTCCAATCTTTCTAGGCATTAAAAAAAATTTAGAATCTATTAGATATTTTTCCTGCTCAATATATTACTGTAATATATTGTATTTATTTCCCACACACACCTCATGTCTAGAAGAATGTGCTTGGAACTGATCTGGTACATCAACATTTTTAATTATTTAAGTGTGGATTTATTCAAGACATTTATTTATCTTAGAATTTGCTAATTGTACTCTTGCATCTTTCTGAAGGAAATTCCAACTTCAAGATTCTCCCTCCAGAGGGAATAAATAAAATTCCTTTTTAATAAGCCCAGGTTTCTAAACTAGGCTTATTAAAAAGGAATTTATATTTATGAAAAATATACCATTAATAAATCTACTGAATATTTCTTGGCTCTCCAGAATCCCCTTCTACTACAGCACTAAGAGGAATGAGTGACAAATCACTGTGTCTTGAAGGAAAAATGTCCAGAAATTAATGCAAAGGAGAATGATTCATCTTTGAAGGACAAGCCTGAAGTTTATGGTTCAAATGGAGCCAATACTATAAAAATACTGTCCAAGTAACTTGGAATTTATTCAGTTTCAAGATACAGGACTAAAAGTAAAGGCTTTGTACTACAGTAAACTGGTTTTGATATTCAATTTCTGCTGCCATGTTACTTTTCTTCCCAGCAAAAAACTCTGATAACCAAAATAGTAGAGGCAAGACAACAAACTCTCATCTCATATTTTCTCAGTGTACAGAAGAAAAAAGACAGTGGTAACCAACAGAAAAGGCAAAAATATTTATTATTAGTTTACATTTCAAGGACTGGAGTAAAACACTTAAAATACTAAGTTAAAAAGTAAGTGCTTGAATAAAGAACACTTAGTTTTAAAAATGACAAAGTAAAATATCATTTAAAAAAAACAAAACCAAAAATATACCTCTTGTTTGCACATTTATACATTCATATTATTTAGAAAGTTTCCAAAGTTACTATAAAGTTTAAACAAAAGCAGCTTTTTACCTGTGAACTAAGCTGAGTTTTAATCCAGTTGAAATAGTAATTCAAGTCACTGCCTTCCATAAGCTCCCTCCCCCAAGCAGCCAGTTTGGCAATAATTCTTGCTGCCTGAAAAATAATGCAATAAACCAATTATTCAAAGACAGCAATTTCAGAATTCAGTGAGAAGTTCTGTAAACTTCAGAAACCAGTTTTAGATACAAGTTAGCCCCTTACAGAAATCTACCTGTTTTCTATGTAGGGGACTCTTTGTGCCTGTTATCATTTACCTGCAGCTGTTGAAGTTCACAAGGCACCAGTAAAGAACTCAGAAGGAGATGGAGGGAAGCTGTCAATGGGCTACTGCTGTAGGACACTACTAGAGTCAGAAATCAATCAAAAGCAAGACACTGAGTGGCCTAACACATGCAGGTTTGATTTAAGCAACTATGGCATATGCCAGTACAAATGGTAACATGGTATTGAAGTTTTTTTGTACTTAAACTGAAGGAAGTCATCTTCAAGAAGGGAGACGTTTCATGCCCAGAAAAAGAAGAGCAGAAAAGTAAAATGGAAGGTACAATTTAAGAATGAAGTTGGGGAGTAAAAATGGGGTCAGGTTAAGAATTTTCATTATGCCTATGGCTTTAAGAATACTTAAACAAGAGTATATTTCTACATCAGACTTTCCAAATTATATTTGAAGTAAATCTACACTGCAGCCTGCAGCTAATTTGCAAAAGCATTTAAGCCAGCTTACATCTAAAGAGACAGTGTAACCAAGAAATTACTGAAGCAGGGGCTCATTTGCATGCAGACAGTTCCATGAAGCAGTGAGGACACTATTCCAGCCACCTTTCCACCGTACTGCATTCACATGTGCAGCACCACCTCCACTGATTGTAGAGGGATTACAAGTGCGAGTCTGGAACAATAATTGCTACATTAAAATGTGTCAGATCCCCTTCTTAATGCAAGTAAGTCACCCTAAAAAATCCCTCCAGCTTTAAAACACAAGATATTAGCTCTCTAGTCAACAATTCTTCTGAGTTAAAACTGCTACCTGGCCCCTGAATGAGAGACCATTTATGTTTAGCAGAATCCAAGCCTACACAGAGGATGAGTTTTTTTATCTGTCTCATCAGACGTAATGATGTGGCATCAAAAATCTTCCAGAGTGCATAGTAAGGAGAAAATTAAAATAAACCCAAAAAAAATCACACAATCCTAAAGTCTGTGTTTAAAAACATTCACGTGCTTTAAAAAAAACATGCACTGTCTAAAAGGTATAAGGCAGGAAACTTAAATAGTGTCCACTTTAAGTGGATTCTCTTCACATAAGATTCTCTGTGTCTTGTCAAGTTATTTGTACATTTTTGCAGTACCTAAAGAATACAATATCTGAATAACACAAATCTGAGTAGACAAATGCTGACCATCAAAATTTCTATACCATATGTTTAAAAAACACCATTCCAGGGAGACTAAATAGTTTGCACTGCAAGGGTCTAAAAATTATGCTTTACCTGCCTATTTGGGCAGTCAGCATTGTCTGACTGCTCAAACTGCAGTTTTGCAGGATGGGTCTTCAGTAGCACTAACACCAAAAAAATCACAAAACAAACTGCATTAGCCAATAAAGAAGCCCAGCCACCTCCTCCCTCAGCTACATCAAGAAAACTGATTCACATCCATGCAGTCAACCTGATTAAATAAATAAACAAATCAAGCCTGACATTTTTCTTGAGAACAAGCCAGCTCACTGTTCAAGTGGCAGTACAGCCCCAAACACAGTTGCACTGGCCACACCCCAGGGCAAACAGCATGGCTTGCTCAGTGTCCTGGAATCCTTGCACCAGTTCTGCCCCCACAGCCTAATGCAGACCAGGTAGTGAGTTTCTAGTTTGTCTCTGATTTGACTCTACCATATCATTCCAGCACAAACATATGCAGAGTAGAAAAATTCATAGTTGTGCAGTCTTCTCTTCCTCAAGCCATAATGTAAGTTTAACTGTTGGAAACTGTGGTCTCCACTAGGAATTTACAGTAATAAAAATGTATTTTTGGCCTACAAGAAAAAAAAAAATCTGCTGAGATGAAATATCCAGTTCTCACCACTGACAACAGAAGAATATTTAAATTCCAGAAAAGCTACTCCATATACAGAAGCAGCAAACAGTAGTAGCAGTCAAAGCATAGCAGAAACAATACACTGCACATGGCTGTGGGTTTGGTTGGGATGGACTTAATTCTCTTCATAGTAGTCCATATGATGCTGTGGTTTAGACTGGTGTCCAAAACAGTCCTGGTAATGTGTCAATGTTTTAGCTGCTGCTGAGCAGCACTTGAACAACATCAAGCACTTCTCTCCTTCTCACTCTACACTTCCAGTGAGTCAGCTGATAAACTGAGCATATGACAAAATAAGGTTGAGGTAAAGATATTTCCTTTGCACAAGATGAGAATTTAAATTCTAATATTTGTACAGCATTGAATGGCAGCTGTGATAAAAGATTTTCAGGCAAGTTTTATTGTACTTATTGTTCTAAAGTGCCTGCTTTTCCGAATTTTTAAAACCTGCCCTAATCTCCCAGAAATAAAACAATTCCAATTAACAATGTAACTTTGCTTTTTAAAATGTGGTTAGGTGAAGTTATATTAGGAATGACTCATCTAGACTGCAAGAAGAAAACTTTGCAGTCCAGCAGAAGCTTAGTTTCAAATTCCAAAGTCTCCTGAAGAAAAAGAGAACCAGCATTTTTCTCTACCATCTTTAGAGACAGGTTCATTTAAAACTTACCATATGCACAGTGAAGAGATCTTGTCGATTCAACATTGGCAGAAAATAGGACCATGCAGTGTTTTTACCACGTTTTGCATAATCAAAGAAGATGCAAACACGCTGATGATTTTCCTGTAAAAATTGAGAAAGGAAAAGATGACAGATTTGTAAAAGCATTTGACATAAAACAGCTATTTGCTCCTTGGTATGTTAGCATAGATTATGAGAGTGTATCCTGGCTTGTAAGACCCCACAGAAATTTTTCAGTTAGACTGAAAAATTTCTTGTGGATACTGCTCATTTCAGCATTTTAACAGTAAGATTGGAGATTTGGGGTGGAAGAAACAAACCTTGAAGCCTTAGTTGTATCCCAGTGCTGCAACACCTGCTTGAGCAAACCACATATTCTTCTGAACATGCAAGTGGAGTAAGGCAAATGAGAAACAAGATAAATCCTGTCATTTTTTAAGAATGACACTACCCTTCATCTAACCAATTATGCTTGATTAAAGTCCAAACAAAGTTTTCAATGTACTGCTACTTCCACACAAGAGCCTTTTGTTCAACTTCTACAAGTGGAACCTTAGGGGTAAAAATGAGCCTTTCCATTCCTCTCAATGGGAAATGAGCTCTTCTCTCCTAGATCAGGCTGCAGCTAATTCAGCACTTATGTCAGGCAACCTGCATATCTATAAGAGGACACTGCCACCAGAAGTCTGTTCTGCGGGGCTCCAACCCTGAGCCACAGAGACCACAATTACCTGAGCCTGGGCACAGCCTCTTTAAGTATTTCCCCTAATAATCACTATGCAAAGCAGCTATTACAGTTCTCTTTACAGCAGGCCAGAGAACAGGCCATACAATCATGAAGGAGAAAGAAAAGCTCTGCTGTTTTTTAATAGCCTAGAATAAAGACAGACAGTCCCAAAAAAATCTCACATTTGAATTCTTGCTTTTCCTCCAGCATTTCCATATGCATTCCAGCCAGGTGTCCTGGTGGATTGGAAGCTTTCCTTCTGAAGAGATGTTTCCTCACTGAAGTCAAACTACTTCCACCAAGAACACAACTACTATGAAGGAAGGCAAATGAGAAACTCACAAAAGGACAGTATCTCAGTCTCCACTGTGCAGACATTTTAATTTTCAAACTCCTCTAGCTAGAAAAGCTTTTCTCCATTCAATTCTGCACCCTGTTATAAAATCTAGGGATGAAGAACCAGCTAGGCAAGCCTCCTTGTTGGGATATGATCCATTAAGCACAAGACGACTTGAATGTATCCATGATTCAAACAGTGGCATCTTACTAAGCCTTAGAGCTGCAACCAACCCTTCCTTAAAAGTAACTGTCCTTACCTGAAAACACAAGTTTTCTCACTTTTACTCTTCTGATTCTCTTCCCCATCCTCCTGCTGCAGGAGTGAGTGAGTGGCTGTGTGGTGCTCAGCTGCCAGCTGGGGCTGAACCACAGCAGTATTGCACCACACAGGCTGCAAATTGCTGCCCTGATCACTGGCTGGGGAAGCTCAGACGGCACCAGTTATCCGCCAGTTATAATCCCGACAGTGATCCACTCTCTACACATAAAAATGCACCCAGAAATGTTCTCAAAATTTGTTGTACAAACTATGAAATAAACAAAAATAAGATCTCAGGGACACAGAGCCTTTGGTGAAGAGTTTTTACTCTGTGAGGGCTCACTTAATGAGAAATGGCAGCTCGATCAAATAAATCACTGTTAGCATCTGAATGTGTTAAACAGTCTAGCTAAGAAAGATCAAAACTTACCAGATCAATGAGCTCAGTTTACAACATAACTAAGGAGGAGACAGACAAGTCTGGAAGCAGAAATGCTGAAATAATTTCAATATGCTGTCAGTCAGAAGACTTGTCTGGTTTGCTATTAAGGTGCAGGATCAAGACAGAAGGGAAGGAGTGGAAAACTCCCCACAGCCCTGAAATATGTAGTGTTGCACCTTCCAAGGAAGCTACTGACTACACTGATGAAAAGAAAATTCTGAAGCTCTCACATCAACAATTGAATAATTTAGCAGCTGTCATTTCTGAAGAAGCATAATGAAGTTCGGGTGATACTGCTACCTGCACCAACTAGAGTGTAGGTTCTTAAAGATTTCATAAGTAACAGACTGTGTAGTGTGATTAGGTCACTAATCCAAAGAAATTGTTTCAAGAATTTATCAGATAAAGAGAGTAAGAAATGTTTCCTCAAGGATGGCAATATGCTAACACTTTCCACCTTCTGAAGTAAGCAGAAGGGTGATAATCTTATATGGTAAACACAACACTAATTTCATGTTTGCCACTGTTCAAAATAAATCTGTCTTAGAAAGGTCATCAAATCAGTAAGTAGAACTGCTGGAACGATCCTAGACACCCAAGTAAGCTTTTGGTGAGCTCAAAACACAGTTGACATAATTTTTACCACTTCACAAGCAAAGCACAGAAAGATAATAGAAGCACCACAGTCAGTTATTATCAGACAAAAGCTGAATTCTGCTACCTGCGATAGTTTTTAAAAGTTCCAGCTGTCAAAAGCAGCTTCAAATATTATTTGTTCACCTCATGAAACTGCAGCAAACATACTTTCTCAAGGCAAATTTTACTGGGAGTCAAGGCCATGTCCTTGAACAATTTCTTGCTTAAAATCTTTGAATATACTGAATTAAGACGAGTCAAGCAAAGACTGGAGACTTCATATCCACCACAAGAAAATGGGCAAGACTATTTACATGAGCATGTACTGACAGGACAAGGGGGAATGCTTCAAACTGGGAGTAGGTTTAGGTATTAGGGGAAGATTGTGAGGCACTGGAACAGGTTGCACAGAGAAGCTGGGGATACTCCATCCATGGAGGTCTTCAAGAACAGGTTGGATGGAGTTTTGAGCAACCTGGTCTAGCTGAAGGTGTCCATAACCACAGCAAGGGGGCTGGAATCAGATATCTTCAAGGTACCCTTCAAACCCAAACCATTCTATGATTCTACGATACTGTGGGTTCCTGTGTCCAAGAAGTCTGCAGAGACCCTGCCCTAAACTCACAGTCACACCATTATTGGCCAATATGCAGCTTTCTGACAAGAATCCTACACCTTGAAAATGTGCCATAAGGCACCACTGGCTGTATGTTCCAACCCCTGAACATGATCAAAACAAAACAGAAGTCCTGTTTCAGCCTTGCAGAGTGGAGTTGTCACAAGTTAGGAAACTCTGAGATAATGCCATGTGGATGCCTTCACACAAGGCACAAGCCTTCTATGCCAGCATCCCTGAATCCCTGAATAATGCAATCACACACAGCATTGCAAAAGTCAGTACAGCCTTTCAGATACTGAAGCAGAATTTCTGAGGTGAAAAAGGTATTCAATTCCAAACAAAAGCAAATATGTAGTGTGCACCAGTATCTCTATTCTGCTTTATCACTGTAAGGGTTGAATAATTTAAAGCCATTACATTTAACGTTAAGAATTCAATCCATGCTGCTTCTGGGACAGGGTAAGGCCCAAAATGCAGCCATATCATAAAGTCAAGAAAACACATACATCTAACCACCTATGACAGAAACAATACAGCAAAAGAGAGATTACTCAAAACTGCTTTCTGTGACTACCTAGAACTATTTCATCTGTTCAAAAGTGGGCCAGTGAAAGCATTACCTGTGGGGTATTAATTCCACAGCAGAGGAGATAGCATCAGCTATCACCTACTGTAGCTGCAGGCCATCTGTTAATGCCAAAGCACATTAGCAAAACAAGACCTACGAACACTCACAAGTTCTGGAAAAGGGCAAATGAAATGATGACTTCTCTGGCCACTGATGCACAGAAAGCAAGACCCATTCCTCACAAAAGTAGCCATAATAAGCAGAGTTCTCACACACTGAGCCAAAGTTTGTCATCCAATAGGTAAAGCAAAACAAGGTATTCCCAACCCAGTGTCCTAATCAAAGAATGATACTGAGGACACAGTATCTCTGTGCTTCTCTCTGAGACGCAGAGGTCTTCTCTTCTTCTCAACGTTTGTGTCACACTTGAAAAAATGTAAAACTTCATGAGAAAAAGTGACCAAGCTACAGATAAGTAAATTGCTGCCACCACCACAAGCTATTATCCTATTAGCCCAGATGTCAGGGCACTCACTTAGGGCTCTATTGTGCAAACAGGCACATGAAAGAACATCATGGTCCCTGTGTTATACAAACTGTAGAGAGGTTCACACTTTTCAACTTGCCTGTTGTAACACTGAATAGTCACAGCAGGAACTAGAACTCATGTGGTTCACCTCCTAGGGCAATAATACTCTAAACCAACAGCACTAAACACATGTCACTGAAACCTGGGATCAAATATATAATAAAACAGAAGAGAAACTATCAAACACAGATGGTATGTGTGAATATAAAGAAAAAAAACTCACCTAACTCAACTCATTTTGTTACATCACTCCAAATGCCTTCTCTTAGCCAACTTCAGAGCAAAGAAACATAAAAGCAGGATTATCTGATTGGGTAAAGCCTCTTCTTGAGTTATCCCAATCAGCTCAACAGTCTGAGACCAAGTTTAATAGCCTGCTCGTATAAGGCACTGTTGTCCACAGCTACAAAGAGCTGTATGTTACACTGAATTAAAAGTTCCTCATTTATAAGTAAACCATCCAGAATTTCAGAACATGTCCCAAACAACCTAAATTATGTTGGAAACCTTATGCAGCAGAAACTACACCTTGTTGCTGAGGGTAGCCAAATTAACACCTTCAAAGGAAAAGCTTTAACAACTTCATATCCTCCCTATACCACAGGAAAGGGCTGAGGTCACAAGCCACAGAACTTTAGCATTGTTTAGGTTGGGAAAGACCCTTAAGATCACCAAATCTACCATTAATCTAACACTGACAATTCTAACACAACATAAGCTGATATATCAAATGTAAAAAGCATTTAGAAAAAATTCTACAAATTAAGATCACATGAAATGAAACCACTATGTAACACTAGCCTTAACAACAAAGTTTTGAATTAAACATAGTTGGGAACCAACTGACAAGCATAAAAGTTTGTTTTATTTCCAGAATTTGAACATATTACAAGCTAAGTTAGCCTTATAACTTTAGGTCTAACATTTAATCTCTGAAGACAGGATCTGAAAATTTAGCAGAGTATTTTTAACACAGTATGACAAACACCTGAAAATACATGAATTACACTAAGGAAACATTCAAGCATGCATTTAAAGACTTAAAAATAATACAGATTATTGACCTACTTGCAGCATATCATCAACCATAGTCAGAATGTACTGAACAGTCTGTTCCTTGGAGATATGAGTCATCAAGTTTATAAATGTTTTAGCACACTAGAAAAATAAAAGAGACATTAAAATTAATATTAGCAATTGTCTTTGTTCCTTTTGATAATATAAAACAGGATCTTATTAATTCACAGTTAAGTCTTACATAAGCATTGAGCATCCCAACATCTTATTCAATTGCAGTAAGAGATGAATACATTTGACATTATCTCACAAAGAAAATTCCCTGTCACATTGGTTGCTACCCTTTACAAATTGTTTTATGGCTTTCAAATTAAATAAGTACTTGCTAGTGAAAGTCACCAACATACTTGGTTGCAAGTCAGATTAGAAAAGCCTCCCCCAGCACCCTTCTTTTAATGGTAGTGAGATCAAGTAAACTGACAGAACAGCAACTAAGAGCACAAAAAAAGTTTCAGCAGTTTGAATGCCTATTCACTTACTATATAGTAAGAAAAGTAAGTATGTAGAAAAGTCTTTGTTCATCTTTGAAGAATGTTACAATTTCAGCAATAGGCTGAAATAGTTACAACATTACTTTTTACACTTCCTCCTCCCCTTCACCAAATTCAGCTAAACCACAAAGAAAATTGAATGAACTGCTACATTGTAATTATGTAGTAACATATAAAGTACACCACATGTTTTTGTTATGCAAACTATGATCCACTAGATAACAGTAACACACCACAATTTGGAGAGAAGAGAAATACAAAACCAAAACAAACGGCCTAAAATTAAAGTAGAAAAAATGGCCATAAATGTTTGTGTTTTGAAAGCATCTACACTTCACCTTCCTCTCTGCCTCTCCCAATCCTCTTGATGTCTGACATTCTGTGCTAGAACCTCAGGCTGAGATACTACTGATTCAAATATTAATTAAGTGTCTTTGGGCATCCTGCCTGGTCTCCATATGGGCAAAGGGCCAATTCAGTCCTGAATCAGCTCTGTCCAATGCAAAGGTCTCATATCTTACGATGCCTAAAACGACATGAGACACCCATACCCAAGTGAATCCACCTTAGCAGTCAATGGACTTCATGCTCTAACTAATTATAATTTCTTAACTAACTAAGCAGCAATCTTACTGGTAGCAGCTGTCATCAATAAACTATAAAGAAAAAAATCTCAAAAAAAAGAAGTGACTCAAGTACAAGTGTGCATGATTAAGTAAACCAGGATGAGGGAAGACTTGAGCTAGTTAGTCCCACGACAGAGTCAAAGGCAGATGATATTTAACAATTATTTAGTAGGTTTTAAAAATAACGAAATAACATCCAACCCATATCTAAGGAAAAATTAAAGAATCACAATAGCAAGCTTTATATTTATTCTGGAACATCTTAACTGTATGCATACAGTTAAGAACAATAAAATAAGAGTAGATTTGAATATTTCCTTCCTCCCCAAAAGAGACTTCATTAAAAGAAAGTTACTTGATTGCCTTCTGATTGCAACAACTCCTGTTTTTCTTCTGGATTTCTTTTCTGTTCAAATCGCTGAATAAATTCACAGTCTTCACCTGAAATCATCTGACCTCTGAAAAACAAAACATTAAACTGTAAGTAACATGAACAGTAAGTTGAAAATAACTGTACTGGGTTCACATGGCAAGGCTGTGTTAGTAGGGGACTGCTTGAATGGCTCCTATGAGAAGACACCAGAAGTGGACCCTGTGTCAGACAGAGCCAGTTCCAGCCAGCTCCAGGACAGACCCACCACTGACCCAACCTGAGCCACTCAGTAATGACAGTAGCACCTCTGTGATAACATATTTAAGGAGTAAAAACTGCTGTGCAACAGCAGCTGAGACAGGACTGAGGATATGTGAAAGAAACAACTCTGCTGACTTCCAGACCAGTGCACAAAGGAGGGAGAGGAGGTGATGCACATGCCAGAGCACAGATTCCCCTGCAGCCTGTGGTGAAGACCATGGTGAAGCAGCTGTGCCCTTGCAGCCCATGGAGGTCCTAGGGGAGCAGAGATCCACCAGCAGCCCATGGAGGTCCTAGGGGAGCAGAGATCCACCTGCAGCCCATGGAGGTCCTAGGGGGAACAGAGATCCCCCTGCAGCCCATGGAGGTCCTAGGGGGAACAGAGATCCACCTGCAGTCCATGGAGGACACCCATGCCGGAGCAGGCAGATGTGCCTTACAGGAAACTGCAGTTCATGCAGGTTTTCTTGCAGGACCTGTGTGACCTCAAGGGCCTGGAGCAGTACATGCCTAGAAGACTGGAATCTGCAGAAAGGATCCATGCTGGATGAGTTTGTGAATGACCATAACCCATGAGTAGGACACCTCAGGATGCAGCAGGGGAAGAGTGTAAGAAGGAAGGAGCAGCAGGAATTGAGTGTTATAAAATGGCCACAGCCTCCATACCCCACTCCCCTACACTACTCAAAGCAAGGAGGCAGAGAAGCTGAAGCCAAGTTGAGCCTGAGAAGAAGGGAGAGGATAGGAGGTGGTTCTTAGATTTTTTCCTCTTTTTCATTAACCTACTTCATTTAATCAGCAATAAATGGATTTAATTTCACCAAGTGGAGCCTGTTTTGCCCACGACAGTAAGTGATCAGTGATCTCCCTGTCCTCACACCTCAACCCGAGCTTTTTGCTATGTTTTTTCCCCCTGTTCTTTTGATGGAGTGTGTCCTGTCCTGATGGACACCTAGTAACCTGTCAATGTCAACCCACCATACAAACTTTGTTTCCTTCATCTTGAGCTACCTCAGAATCATAAAATGGTTTGGTTTGGAAGCAACCTTGAAGAGCCCAGTCCAACCTGGCCTTGAACACTTCCAAGGATAAAGCAGCCACAACTCTCTGGGCAACCTGTTCCACTGCCTCACCAACCTGACAGTTAAGAATTCCTTCTTAACATCTAATCTAAACCTTCCCTGTTTCAGTTTAAAACCACTGCCCATTGTTTGCCCACTGTATGCCTGTACAAAAAGTCTCTCTCCCTCCTTTTCATAAGCACTGTTGAGGTACTGGAAGGTCTCCCCAAAGCCTTCTCTTCTCCAGGCTAAACTACTCCAACTCTCAGCCTGTTTCTGCAGGAGATGTGCTCCAGCCCTCTGACCATCTTAGTGGCCCTGCTCCAACAGGTCCAAGTCTTAGTTGTGCTGAGGACCCCAGAGCTGGATGCAGCATTTCAGGCAGGGTCTTGTGAGGGCAGGGTAGAGGAGATACAGTATCAACCATATCACTTTACCAATGCTATATCCCACAACAATGTAACGGGCTCCTTCCTGCAAAGGGTCTCATGTAAAAAAATTTAAAAATTATGGTGGAATAATCTCTCAAAAGTCTTCCCCATGCATCGCCTCTGAACAGCATTCTTCAAATAATTTTTAAACTTCCAGAGGCTGAATGCAATGTCAGTTATAAGAACTGAATTACACACAGCTAGCACATTATGCCAAAATGATAATACATAACATGAGTAACAAACTAATCCAACCAAGAAATAAGTGCTGAAAAACAAAATTAATTGTCACTTTAAGTTTGCTGTAAGCACTGAAGAAAACTGTAAGGAGAACAGAGATCATGGTTCCTAATTTATTTTTAGCTTTCACTAATCCCATCTTGAGTTTAAAAACTGATATGCATGCAAGTTCATCTAAACACATAGCAAGGGGGCTTGATATAGTGAACTGTTGTGGACACCTCTAAGATAACAGATGTCTACTTATCTTCTCTTCAACTTAATATTCAAGTGGTTACTGCCATCATCAGTGCTATTTCAGAAAGCTGTAGACTCAGCTGAAGAGTTAGACAGAGTTGCAGAACACTACTGGGTTTTTTTATAATACAAAACTTCACATCACAAGAAATAAAAAAACTTGTCAAAATAGCACAATCAGGTACTCTTCAGGTAAGAAAAGTAATTTTAAATCAAGTAGTCCTAAAAATATCCAAGATTTTAATAGGTGACTACCTTTACTAGGCAATACCAAGAGGGCTTCAGGAAAGAAGAAAATCATGCACAGTCACAGGGGATGAAAGCATTAGACACTCCTGCTTCAGTTATTTCCAAGACTCATCTCCTTTTAATATTTCCACTGAATGAAACGCCTCTTCCACTTGGCAAAGCTACGTAGCATGGACTCTTCACCCATCTTTTCCATATTCAAGGTCAGTTTTCAGATGTTCCATGACTAGAGATTACATTGCAAACTTTTCAGGAAGTGTTCACTTTTTTTTTTACCCAAGTGGCTCACCTGGATTTTTGAAATAGAAAAGTAAGACCTACAATGAGTTTTTTTCTTTCCTCTTACTTAAATGAGTCTGTCTTGAGTATGGCCTCATCACAGAGCCATCTTTTATTTATTTACTATCCAGCAAATAACATAAGTAGTCCAGTGCCATGTGTGCTACTCCTATGTTCCAGCTGCTTTGTTACAGATATCCTCATATGCACTGAGGAAAGACAACCAAGATTTACTAGAAGGAAGATTCCTAAAGACAGTGGTAGGGTAGCCCTCACCCAACTTCTGCAAAAACTTGAATAATTATAGATGAATCATATGTGATTGGCCAATGATGACCATGCTGCTACCATGCCTTTTAGACTGACCTATGTTCTTTCTGGCCTATTAAGGGTGGATTTAAATAGTTATAGAAAGAGGTGGACAATTCATCTGCCACAAATACTGAATTTAAAGACCCATAACTAGAAGCCTCTTTTGTTCCAAATAATGCTGACCGAGCCAGGGAGTCATGGATCATACTGATACAAAAGTAACCAGATAAGCTGCTTGTTTATAAGAATATTGCCATTTACAAAACACTTCAAAGATGACCTAAGACGAACCCTTAATTTTCAGCTTTAATGTTGGAGAAAGCCTCAGCCCATGAAGAGAGAGAGTTCTTTACAGTCAAACTATTAGAAGAGGTCTGCCAGCTGCAAAGGAAAAAAGCTTTCAAGCTTTTGCTTTTATCCTACATTAGGCTACAGGAAAAAAAAGAAAAAAGATGTGGGGATTGATATTGCTGTTAAAGGAAAAAAAAGACATTAAAGTTTATTCTTTATCGCTTTGTTAGCACCATTCAAAAATACATCTTCCAACCCATACAAACATTACAAGGGATCTGACAGCTTTTTAAACAAGCTGTTAATATTTTATCAACGAACTCATACATCTGATTAATAGCTTTAGTAATTTCAAATGCATCTCTTCCCATTCATCTCATTTAAAAACTGAAATGACTGATTAGACAGTAAACCTTAAACAGTGTGGTGGGGGGCAGGGGGGTGTTTAAGAAAAACCAACCATAAATCATGAGAAAGTGCAGAACAGCTTCAGACTCAGACAGCTGATACTGAGTCCCATGATGCTATTACACATTTTCCTCACCCCCTCTTCAAAGCAACAGAAATTTCACAGCACCTTTTAACAAACAAGCAACCAAAGCCTCCCTCCATCCCTCTTCCTAGCAGCCATTTAACTTGTTATTTTCCAGGATGTGTCTATAGTCTTTTGCCAAGATGGAAGTCACTTTGAGCTTCAGCTGTGTCCTGGTTTCAGCTGGAATAGTTAATATTCTTCCCAGTAGCTGGTACAGTTCTGTGTTGCAGATCTGGTATGAACCCTTTATTATTTTTTCTTATTTTTTTCCTCTTCTTTTTCTGTTCCATTAAAGTCTCTTTATCTCAACATGTCAATTTCCCCTTTTTTTTTCCTCCTGTCTGAGAATATCAGGTTTAGGACAGGAGCTCTGTAAGCACCTTTCAAGGCTCTGTTCCTGGGATACCAAGAGCTGTCTTTGAGAGCACTTGCTAGAGGAGATAAAACTGAAACTGAAGGATTCAGAAAGCATGTATTTGCAAAACCACCATTTTTAAATCCACCTGGTCACTCAATATGACTCAGAATCTTGTGATTCCTTCTTCATTGTGCATTTCCTCCATCAACTCTTGTTCCTTTTTCTTTTTTTTTTTTTTTTTTTTGCTTGGATGATTTAGCAAAAGACACCCTGAAGGTTATGGTATTTTTGTTTGGTTTTTACTTTCTTTTGGGTTTTTTATATTAAAAAAATTGACTACATATGCAGCAAATATGAAGCTCATATGAGCCTACCATACCAAGGCATAATTTCTTTTATCCAGGTATCTACAGTACTTTGCATGTACCTAGAGACACTAAATGTATCCAATTGCTCAACAGTTTTAGCACTACAAAATTAAAATAGTAAAACAGACTACTCTACAAGAGTAGTACTCTACAAGACTCAACCAGATTTGAGGGGAAAAAAAAAAAACAAACCACAAAATAAAACAGAAGAAAATCCTCCATATACTACAAATTAGGAAACTTCTATATTTCCTCTAAGACAAGACTGACTTTTAAAATCTGACATATTCAACCTGCTTTAGAAGGTTCTTCCACCCCCAGGAAAATAGAACAGATATTTTAGCATCAGAATTCACAAACATGCACGTGAAGTATTTGAAAACACACAGGAAACCATGTACAAATTAGCCATCAAGTATCTCATCTGATTAAATATAAAGTATTGTCTAATGCAGTGTATCTAGAAAACCTACAGTGCAGTAAGGTGAAAGCTGAACTCTGAAACATGTTCAATTTTCCACAGAACTCATTTACTACCCTAAGAAAGCAAACCCAAACCTGCTTCAAGCAAGCCAACACACCCTCCCCTGGCATTCTGACACCCTGAGGCAAATGCTGAAAGCAACCACACAGAGCAAAACAGCAAATGTCTTTTTAACTCGAGGAGGGCACCCACACCTCTGAACTGCAACCAGCCTCAAGATCCAAAGGCAGCAAAGTCCCCACCGAACTAAAGCTTCCACAGGCAGACCTACACATCACCTTCCACTGCCACAAGATTTGTTACTTTCTTCTCCCTCAGACACAGACCCCAGCTGGAATCCAACATAAAGAAAGGATACATTTTAGCACCAGAAAATAAATTTTCTTTTTCCACAGCCTCATTTTGTAAGGAGTAGTGAACACACAAGCAAGCTGGCAATACAGAAAATTATCATATCTAACAGTATACAGAAAAAATATCAGAAGTCAGCAGTTGTGTGTTAGTGTAGTTTGATATTTAGTTTACTGTTACAACCTTCAGAGATGGAATAAACACTGTGTGAGTTAATCTTTAGCTTGAACTGACTCTACAAGAAAAGTCAGGCTCCTGAAGTCTGACCAGCCACAAGTAAGCCATTTTACTTTTGCACTGAAGAACAGAGAGAGGAAAAAAGAACTTCAGAATGCCCTTCTGTGTGACCCTAGCCCAATGCTGTTGCAAGTGATGCAATCTTCAAAGCACCTTTATACACATACAACTGCCACAGGCAGAGGAGAAAAAAACACTTCATCAGAATTTCTTGTGAAATTCTTTGACTTCAACTATCTAAGTACTAACTACAGTTTCTACAACTACATAACTACTGCCTCTAGTTTAAGAAGCATAGATCATGTTTAAGAAGCAAAAATCATGTCACACCTGAGTTGATGTGTTAACTTAGGGAAAACAAAAATATTTCCTTTAATTTAAAAACATCTGATGAGTTGAAGTAATTCCCTCATATTCATTTATATGCAAGTTTACCACAGTAAATGCACAGACAATCAGAACAAGGAGCCCAAAAGAAAGAGAACTATCAGTTCTCAAGCACCCCATTTTCCTTCTCCATGAACCAGACTAAAACAAACCACTCTGACCTGCCTCTAACAGCTGCATCAAAGAAAGTACTCTCTACTCATTTCATAATGTACTTCATTCCAGAAATGAATCAATATAACTGCACTGACTGACTTTCCAAGAAATCCCTTAAAGCTCAGCCTCAAAGACACCATCACATCCAAACCTGTCCATTGAAAAACAGGACATGTCCAAATCAAGGTATGAGTTTATTTCCTTTGGAAGCACCAAAAGTTCTGCAGATGTTTTTCAATAACTCATTATAAGGAAACTCCTCAGCCAAAGAAGAAGTTATCTTCAAGAAGCTCCACAATCCCTCTGGCACCATTTAAGTCAATCCTTGAAGCCAACTTATTCAGACAGCCAGGCTTTGTTTCTCAGTAGATACAAGACACAAAAATTACATTTATTTCAGAGCAATAATGAAGAGGACACACTGTTATTGACAGACAAAGGACACCAAGCATCAAAAAGTCTCACTCATCCTCTCATAGGAACACAAACCATAGCCAGATGCACTACAATAGCCTCCAAAACCTAGCTAATTCCAAGAGAGGAAATAACTAGTTTATTCTTCCTTCATAGATTCCAGAACAAAACCAAGTCAAATTCTACAAAAAGGTAGGTAAAATCCAAAAAGGAACCCTGCCCTCTGGTCAAAAGAAGTTATATAAAAATTTGCTGCCAGATTAACAAACTAAACTCTCCGTTTCACACACTGCACCAGAGAAAGAGAATTCCAAGAATAAATTAAAATTACTAACAGCAGATCACATAGCCAAACAAATAATACTACACAAATTCAACTCCTTGTCAAATAGAACCATCTCCTATACCCACAAAAGTAACCAATTTTTCTCACCAGCCCTATAGAAACACCAGAGAAGCAGTGAAAGAATCTCATTCATTTCCATGAACAGTGAACAACTGTACTCCCACTTTCATCCTAAGCAACTGCAAACCAGCTGTTCACTGCCACTAGGACAGCACAGGAACAGCTGTCCAGATGTCCTTGGGACACACAGTTCCTATCAGACAGACAAAAGGGCACACAGTAACAGCAAAAGCCACTTAAATTGTTTGAGAAGTGCTTGGGAGCTGCCACTGCCAGGTTACCACCCCAACCTTTCTCTTTTGCCTGCAAAGCCACAGAGTACCAAACTCAACCAGGAACTGATCCATCTTAAGAATAGCCTAGCAAAAAAAAAAAAGTTCTCAGAAGATCAGTTCAGATTTATCATGCAGATTTATCATGCAGATATACAATCACATAGAAAAGAATAATACAATTAAATGAATGGAATTAGCAAGTCTGAAATACACAGGACAGGGCAAAGCAGGTAGTCATTAGTAAGATTCCACTGGGTTAGCATTTCTCAGCTTACATGAGTACAGTTTTGCAAGGTTATTGCAAATATGACATGCTTATATGTACCACAGCAATCTGAAAAAAAACCCTATTTTTTAAAGTGGTAAAATGTTGATAATCAGAAAGCATCATCAGTATGGTATGAAGCTCTACAATTATGAAGATTTCTTCCACTTTAGTTACAAAGCAATTAATTATAAAGTAATTTGCTATTATAAACAGTAATTTACACTTTGTCAATATTTCTCATTCTCCTGTCACAAGGAACAGGCTGCAAGAATGTTTCATTTCACTTCAGAGTACAGAGGACTAGTCAAAGCCTGTTTCTTCTCCCTATTTCCTACTTCACCCATAAAACTTTTCCTCAGCTTGTCTCTACATCCTCTCAGGAAAATACTCTTCTTGCTTCTCCTGGTGCCATCACATCCATGCAAAAGGACACTCTGAGCTTGCCTGGAACAGCAGCACAGCTCTCCCCAGACTGAAGCATTTGTTTCAGCCTACTCCCTGATTTACTGCTTAAGTTGTCCTCCAGAATTAATGTTCCTTTACTTAAGGTACAGCTTATTTTCCTGGACTACCACTCCAGTTTTGCTAGTACAATTTGTATTCCCACAAAAAGCACTTGAGCAAGTTACACTTAAGACAATTATTACTGTAAACACTTCTTAATTCAGCAGTCACCAAATAAGGCTGAAATTGAGACTAGTGTTTGAATTATCAGGAAAAGAAACTGTTTTACCAAACATTTGTGCAAACCTATACCATTTGCTATTACAACAATCAGCTGATACAAGTAGAGTTCCCCTTCTGTAATAAGTCATAAGAAAATTTTCCACAGCCACTTCCATTTAATGTAGACTTTTTCCAACTACTTCCATGCAGACAGAACATTCTTCACTGCAACATAATGCTCCACTGGAGCCTAAAATCTCAAAAAGTCTAACACTTAAAAGGGGAAAAGAATGTGGAAATGTTTTACTTACTGGAGATATGACTGCCAGTTTACTTTGTTTGCCCGAACTTCAGCAGCTTTGGCAGCAATGATGTTTGTTGGGACAGCAGCATCTACAGCACCTCGGATATCCATCTTGACTGATGATTAAAATGTACCTAGAAATGCAAACCAGATTTGAGACCTCTCATTAAACAGCAGAGTATTTGTCCAGTATTTTAAAGAAATGAAAAGAAAAATCTGTTTCCAGGTGCCCCATTCCTTAACACTGTACTAGTTAGCTTCTGAAAAAATCCAAGTTTTATAAAGTACTTAAAACATGGCTTATTGGAAACAAAAATAAGCCAAACCTACACACTCAATCATAAGTTCACTAAAATAAAAGACACAGACCATTACTAAATAACTCCCAGTCTTGTGAATCCTTGAACAATGAAATTAAGTTACTTGAATTAGGTGGCTCTTCTGCATCATCCAAGTAGCTCTACAGATAAGAGAGCCTGTCTTTTTTCCAAATCTTCTTTCCAGGGTTAAAATTCATTGCATATCCTCCCCACTCCCACAGCTTAGGACTGATTCACTTCAGGTCTAAAAGCATTTAGACATTAGAAACATGCAAACTACAAGTTCAGGGAGGAAAAAAACCCACAAGTATATAAATTAAAACCATGCTACACAGACTTAACAAGAAAATCAAGATCAATAGTGTACAGAAAGCAAACTGAAAAATAAATGTGAACAGAAGCTCTTTATCGGGATATAGTACGTTACCACAGATAGTGACCTTCACCACTTCTTCCCCCTTCCTTTATGGTTTAAATCTCCACCTGACTTTGATGCCAAAACAAGAAGTGTGTTGGCAGAGACTCCGGATCCAGCTGGAGCTGGAATTCCTTACAGCCTGAACTGTACCCAGCCTCTCCACACAGCCCGTTTCTGGACTGTTCTGGCCTCCCTTACAGAATAAGCAAGAGCAAACTGGCACATTCAGGCCTAACCCTCGCAAGCACAGCCTGCCTTAATGACTGAATGAGAATACAGTTCTAACAAAAGAAACAAAAAAAAAAAAATTAGGAACTATCCTGGGCAAACAGAAAAGAACAAATGCCCTCCCTTTGAAACCACTTTAGTGAGCAGACACGCACACAGGCGGCACCGCTCTGTCCTTCAGTGACCACGGAAGGTTTCCGGGCCCTCTGACCCACCCAGAGCCACTCAAACACTGCCCGCGGGCAGGGTCGGTACCAGCGGCTTCGGAGCTGCAGTTTAGCAGCAGAAGCAGCGCCTGGGACAGAGCAGGCACGGTCCTGCCGTTCCCGGCACAGCTCACCGAGGGGCCCGGCAGAACCCGGACCCTGGCGGCAGCCGCGGAGCCCTGCGGAGCCCTCCGCAGCCCCCGGGCCCGCCAGAGCCCGTGAGGCGGCACGGCCCGACCCCGGCACCCACCGCGCCAGGGCCCGGGGCAGCTCCCACTCACCGCAGGGGGGTGCCGGCGGCAGAGGCCGTGCGGGGCCGGAGGGAAGGAAGCGGGGAGGGAATGAAGGGAGGAAGAAGAGCAGAGGAGGCCGCGGGCGGCCCTGGGCAGCCCGGGCAGAGCGCGCACCCGCCGGCCCCGCCGCTGCCGCCGTCATGTGACGCCGCTCACGTGAGCGCGACGGCGGCTTGCGAGGGACATGCCGCCCCGCCCGCGGCTGCGCGCAGTCAGTGTTGTGGCTATATACACGTATTGAAAGCACAATAAAATATACATGTAGGTTTGTACGTACCTATACATGTCATGGAGCCATAGGATGGGCTGGTTTGGAAGGGACCTTCTAGATCCTCTGAATCCAACGCCCCTGCCATGGATGCAGCCCAGGACAGGGCTGGCATTCTGGGCTGTGAGGGCACATTGCCGGGTCATGTTAAACTTCATGCAAACCAGCACCCCCAAGTCCTTCTCCTCAGAGAATCTGCTCTCAATCCTTTCTCTGCCCAGCCCGTGTTTGTGTCTGGGATTGCCCTTGAAGCGATACGCAGAATAAATAAACTCCACAACCAGATATAGTTATGAAGTGGGTATGTATGTCAGCGCCCGGCACAAGCGAGATAGCTTGTGCCCCGAGCCTCAGTGTGACCCACACCTTTATTCACAAAGGTATTCCATATGCAATACATTTAGACATTAGAAACACAAAAGCTTGTGCCCCGAGCCTCAGTGTGACCCACACCTTTATTCACAAAAGTATTCCATATGCAATACATTTAGACATTAGAAACACAAAAACTACAACTACAACTTTTCAATGCATATTCAACCCCTGGCCCCGCCTGTCCGCGCCTCGCATGGTAATCAGATCCACGCCCTTCTGGGCATGCGTTGTTTGCTGTGGTGGTTGCACGGGGGTCTCTGAGGCTGAAGATCCTGGTCTTCCTCATGACTGAACTTTTGAACTTTTCTCCTTTGCGCATGCGCTTTGGTCTCTTGGTGCTTATCTGAGTACGTCTGTCGGCCTTGATTAGCTTGGAGACGGAGGAGTCCCTTTATTTGGGCTCTTTGCATCCCTTGGTCTTCCCTGGTATTATTCTCTATGCAAGAAGCTTCAGAAATTTGCATTTTCCTATGTCCTTTGTACCATGGCAGAGGTTTCTTAAGTAAAAAGGTTAAAATTCAATGCATAGTTCTACAAGCTAAACTTTAAATGCTTAATTGATATTGCTAATTCAAGTGAACTCCAAAAATCTCTATTTCACCCTGACCCGCATGTGTATACGGGTACGGTTTTATACAGGGGATCTAATCCCTGACTGGGATGAAGCGTGTGCCCACAGGTGCCCACTTACGATGTTCGCAGAAATGGCTCCGCTTTTCCAGAGTGTGAAAAACGCCAATCACTGGTTTTTAGAATTTTAAAAGTTTAATAGTAATAAAATGGTTATAAAAATAAGAATATAATTAGAGCAATAAAAATTTGAACAATTGGGATTAGGACAATACAAGACAATAAAAACAAAGAGTTACAGACAGTCCGGGTACCTCTTTCTGGGCAAAATTAGCCTGAAAAAGGGCACACGTTAACAAAGGATTAACCCTTAAAACAATAGCCTGTTGCATATTCATACATCTCATACATGATGCATAAATTCCATTCAAACACAGGATTCTGTCTGGTCAGCGTCAGCTTCTTCCTCTTAATCCTGATGGCGTCTTCAGGGCTGGGCAGGGCGGGAAGGAGTTCGTTGCTTCTGAAAATGGAGCAATAAATTCTTTTTCTCTGAAAGATTTAGGCATCCTGTGGCTGCTATCTGGTGCAAATGCCTCATTCCTTTGTTTAAAAAAAAAATATCCCACATACATAGTTTCTATTTTAACATTATGTTATAACCTAAAACTATATTTAACACACTACTTAAGAAAACTAATACAGCATAACTTTCTAACAAAACACATATAATATTCATTTTTATATTTGTGAAAAGCCAATCATAAAATACACATTTTTCACACAGAGACAGCGCGAGTCTGGCTGGGAAGGAAACTTGAAAGTAAAGGCCCAAGTGTTTCAGAAGCTATGGGCTTAAACCATTTCTGAGAAAAAAAAATCTCAGTACATTCATTTGCTGTGTGAGGTTTTCCAGCCATACTATGCTGAAGTGCACAGTCATACCACTGCTGGTCAGAAATGGTCCTGAACAGTCATTCTGCTAACATACAAGGAGAAAACAAAAATAATCAGGGCTTTTTTGTGTGAGCAGATCAAGACAGCCAATGTAGAGCTGGTCTACTGCTAACCTAATTTTTCTAGGGTCTCTATATTTTCCATTTAGAGGATACACTGTTCTTTAGATTATGCCTGCCATAATAGGTGCCAATTGGTCGGGGGACAGTTATCCCTGTGCCACTGATTTATACTTCTTCCACAGAATTTTTCTTTTAAAATGGATCTTCCTTCATACCCCCAAAAAAACCCTGTTGGTTTCTTCATAACACAAGTGTAAATCCCAGGTACAGTCCAAGTAACAGCATTTGCATGTCTTTCTGCTTCATCAGAAGAAATCTCCCTAAGCCCTGTGCACACTCTGTGTCATCAAGTCTGTAATAAATACATCCATTAATGTGATTCTGTGGATTACCAAACATGTGGGACTTGGAGATCCAAATTTGTGCTCTTGCACATTGCTTACTCACAGATAAGAAATGCTGGCACAGCTCCTGATCTCTAGCATAGATATGTCCACACAATTTTGAAAAATCTGTTTGTTACTTTGAAAGTTTACTTGAATCTGATTTTTGCTTCATAGCTGAGAGTTAGAATTTGGCCTTACTTTAACCAGTTCCTCTTCTAAAAGAGTGTTTGTAACGTCAGTCCTGTAGCATTCAGTATTTCCTGCTTCTGCTCTGCCTGTTTATGGCATGTCTCACTTGCCACTCCTTTTGTGCCTAGCATCAGGCCTCTGGAATAAACATACTCACCTTTTCCACAGTCCTTTCAAATCACGTTACCAATGATGGTACATATGGCTCTCTGAAAGCGTTTTATAAAGAAACAGAAGCCAAAGGTCTTGCAAGATAAACAGAACAGGGCTTGAAGCTTTTAAAATGCAACTTGCTTAATAAGGGCATGTGCTGGTTTTGGCTGGGATTGAATTTGTTTTCTTTACAGTGGCTAGCATGAGGCTATGATTTGATTTGTGCTGAAAACAGGGATGTTTTCACTGCTGCTGAGCAGGGCTTGCACAGCACCAAGGCTTCTTCTGCTCCTCCCTCCACCCCACCAGTGAGAAGGCTGGGGGTGCACAAGGAATCTGGACAAGACACAGCCAGGACAGGTGACCCCAGCTGACCAAGGGGATATCCCACACCCTCTGGCATTATGCTCACCATATAGAGCTGAGGGGAAGAAGGTGAAATAAGGGGAGATATTTGGAGTGATGCTGTTTGTCTTCCCAAGTACCTGTTATGCATGATGGAGCCTGACTTTCCTGGTGATGACTGAACACCCGAGCCAAAGGGAAATGGTGAATTAATTCCTTGTTTTGCTTTGCTTGCATGAGCAGCTTTTACTTTCCCTATTAAACTGTCTTTACCTCAAACCATGAGTTTTCTCATTTTTACTCTTCCATTTCTCTCCATTCCATGGGGGAAGGTGAGTGAGCAGCAGCATGGTGCTTGTTTGTGGCTGGGGTTAAACCACAACAAGGCTTCAAAGGCCTGAACAGTGATCCTACAAGCTACCAGTCAGCACATCAAGCTTTGCTTCCATGAAACTCCCTCAGTTGTCCACAATGATGCTCCTGCCCAGATCCCAAACTGTCCCAGCATTGAAAACACTGATGACTGTGCATTCTCTTACCTAGGCCAAGTATGGTATTCTTTCATCTTCACCCTTCCAAGCTCAGTCCAATAGTTTAAGTAAACCCTTAGAAACTGGATCAGCAGCTCTTAATGTGCATTTCCAGCTGTCAGTTTTAAGATACAAACAGAGTTTCTTCTCACCATGTGCCCCTATGTCTAGTGGGGTAATGTCCTGGATTCTTACTTAGACATGCAAAGCCATTTCTTCTGCCAGGGATCACCTATTTCAAGGAAATCATCCAAAATGCTGTATCTTTCTTTATCCAGCATATTTCTTCGGCCTTTAGCACACTTCTGGCTTAACCCAGGAGTGCCACAGTATTCTGTCTGAACCTGAGTACAGATATGCACAGGGTCATGTAGTTCTCTCACCTCTACTTTCTGCTTTCAATATTGTTTCAGTACCTTACTCTAGGCAGAAAATAATAATTCATGGTTTCAGTTTGGTACCCAATGTGATCTCTTGTTCAGAATATGCATCAGGTCATCAGTGGCCTTTTTTCTTTATAGCAGATTATTTTTTGCTTAATTCCACCACCTGCAAGAGTTTATCACCATCCATTCAGCCTGGAGTCTGGCAAAAATAAGATGGATTGTTATTTGCAGTCAAAATTTTGATACTACGGCAACATAGTCATTTGTCTGTAGGAAAGTTTTAAAAGATGTGATTTGGCATGTTGACTTCATCATAAACTTCAGTCTAGTTTTACTATTCATTTCCCAGGCTGTTAAGAGGCTACAGTAAAAAAAATTTCCCTGTAACTTTTCTGTAGCCTTGGAGTGAGGTAAACTGGTTGAAAGTATTCATCTACTGAATTAGCAGAAATGCAAAGAGGAGAAAAATAATTGTATTAGTGATTACTTTTTTTTTTTTTAACATAGATTCCAGGGGGTATTTAAGGAACTATGAGAGTAAGCATGACATCTGTGCCAGGCTACAGATGTCTAAAAGTAATAAATTTCTAGCAGAGGAATCAAAGTAGTGAACCCAATGTGCCATGTTAGAGATTTCAAACAATATATTGTTTCTGAATATATTTTATATATATTTTATATATATATATATATATATATATATATTCATATTCTTCTATGCCATGCAATGGAATAAAGGCATTAACACAAATTTCCTGTAGCTCTCTAAGGGACAGTCATGTCCCACACCTCTGCAGGGTTCTTCATGTGTACAGACAAGATGTGTAAGGGGTGGTTCTCCATTCAACAACTCACCTGGGTTAAGAGGGAAAATCTGGACATTGATTCATAACACTTGAATGAGACACATAGAGCAGAAGGTAGAAAGAAATTAGCAGCTTTCTAAGTACAGAAGGATCTTCAACAGAGTGCAAAAAGTATCTGGTTGGAGTCTGTTCTGTTCAGCACACTCAGCAGTGTTTAAGAAAGGACATATACAATAGTGTCATATAAAATTATATATATATATTACACAATAGTGTAGTGGAAACTTTGCTGGTGACAGTGTTACTCCTTTGACAAGTGCACAGTGGAATTGTGGACCACCTTGTCAGAGTGTGGTGGGTAAGCTACCAAGATTCACATGTGCTCTTATCCCCCATCTCCACACACTTGGGCACATCTGAAAATTTTCATCAGTGTGAGTCCCATGAGGCACTCTCTGTGTGAAGGAACTTCACTGCATTGCAAGGGAAAGCTTTGAGAAAGGAAAGAATTGTACAGTTTTTACAGGAGCCTGTCTTGTGTGCCTGTCATCACTATGACAGCAAAAGGCAATTCTCAGCAACCAGCACAAACCCATCCTGTGCCATCATCAGCTTGGAGCATCCCATGGTGCCTTATTTATGCTGGTTGATTCTCTGGATCTTGCTGAAGGTAATGACTGTAAAAGTGCTGTGTGCCTATTTTTTGGCAAGCATCTATGCTTGAGGAGTCAGGTGTCCAAAACAATTCTCATTTAGGTATTTTTGGTCACATCAGTGCTTGTCCATTAACTTCTGGCAATGCAGCTTCACTTGAAGTTGCTATGTTTAGATGATTTTATTGATGTGTGAAACAGAGTGAAAAGTGAAAAGCACATCAGCATGCAGGAATAAAAGTCATCAATTTCCTGGATCACAAAGAATAAGAATGCTCAATAGTTTAATACTAGAAAATTAATGCAGATGAGTCATCCTCACACTAAAACTATAGACAGCTGGATCGTGAGAATGTTTTTCTGTTCTCCTTTCTTTCTTGTAATAAGAACAATGTATCATTGTCTATCACTTATTCTCCAAACTACAGAAGTGTTTTGCACACCTGCCATTTAACTTTTCAGCATGCTGTACGTCACCTGGCTCCTGCATGTCTGCACAACATGTATATTTAACATGTATAGAAGAAAATGCTTTGAAAGTTTATCCAAGCAAAACATGCTTAGAAGGTTAGGAAAGTGAGCACACTTCCCTAATTCACAAAACTATCAAGTAAATTTTTTTCTCTCCTGTCTAATTTTGGAGGGTTGAAGAGGCCTCATTGAAGAGATTTCCTTGCATGGAAACAGAAGTGATTTTTCAATATGAGAAGATGTGGAGTACTTCATTAGATGTTTGTCCCGAGGAATTACAGCAAGATTGGTGCATTGTGAACTAGATTTTTACTGCTTCATCTGCCTTTGTTTCCTCCTCTTATTTTACCTTCATTTTATTGTGCGTGTCATGGTGGGAAAACATTATTTTGTGATTATCCTTGTAAACAAGTAATGCCTGCTTCCTGCAGCCTATATAGACTTATCTGATTTCTAGGTCATAGATCATTTGATAGATCATGGATCACTTGGATAATTTTTCTTTTAAATTAATCAGATTCTGGCCCAAAGGATCTGGCAAAGCTGATCTGCCACAGCTGTGCATATGTTACGACAGGCAACCTTCTGATTGCTCCACCACCTCTTTGAAATTACGTTTTACAAGTTCAGTGAAGGAGCTGCACATAACTTATCTGCAGTAGGAGTGGCCTTTGTGAAAGAAGTATAAACTAACATGTTATTGTAATAAATACATCTTCTGTTTTTTCCCCTAGTATGATGGAACAATGCTGTAGTGCCCGAAAATTGGAAGTGAAGTGCCATGCAAAAACAGGAACAGAAAGGGCTATGCAGTACTGTTTGTAGCTTTGAGAAATATTGCATCTGGGGTTAAAATAGTACTAATTTAGGGAGTAGGGACACATGTCTCTGTCTCATGTACATTCCCTTCTCTGTTGAAAGCTGAAGAGTCTCTAGCCACTTTTTGAGCCTACAGCATCTCCTCCTTTCACCATCAGTCTCTGTTGCTTTGTTCCAACAGCTTCTGTCTCTACTCCTGGAAGTGTAGAAGGAGTGTTCTTCTCCTTCATCCTCTCAGAAAAAGGTAAAGCCAGAACAGTAGCTTTTTGGAGAAAAAATGAAATTCTGAGCTACTCAGTGCTGCTGATGGTAAGTCTAGCTAAAGGACAGAAAAAAAAATATTACTTACTGGAGCTTATGCTACAGCTTTCTGTAACAGAGTCTACTGTACAATGACTTCTAGTGCCATTGTCAAGCCTCATTATTCTTAGTTTTTCTCCTCAGCATTTACTGGATTTCTCTGAAAAGAAGACAGAAGTGTGACCAAGGCAGCTCTTCTCGCAAGAGATGCTGTGTGGGCAGATGTGTTATATCCACCTTGTATCTACAATGCTGATTGTCAAAACTTTGGACTCTTGGTAGAAAAAAAATTGTTGGGCTAGACATATTTTTTAGTTTGAAAAAAAGATGTAAACAACAGGAAGTGGGTGTTGGCAAAAACCTTGCAGCCCTCTATACAGGTGGGAGAAATAATCTATTAATAATCTACCTGGAGCCATAGTCCTTATATTTAGTGTGTCTCTATCCTGAGACACGGCTGCAGCTCGTGTGCTGTTTTCACTGGTGCTGCAAGGATTAGCAGCAGGCCATCTGTTCAGCCACTGAGGAAAACCATGTGATTGGCAGGTACCACTGACCTAAGACAGACATCTCCTTTCCGTGCTGCCTGCAGAGTGTAACTGTGTGCTGAGTTCCTTCTTCTTTCAAGTTGTAAATGAAATACATTCACTCTGAGGTGATAAAAAGTGTCTCTTGGTTGTTACAGGTTGTTTCTCTGGCATGTTCAACCACTCCGTGCTTGTCTTTCTCCTTTGCAATTTACTAAAACCTACAAAGTTGTAAATCTAATCTCTAAGCTGGCACATGCTGAAGGGATGAGACACTGCAGATATCTGAGGGCAGATAATCCTGTTTGTCTCCAGAACTCCTCCAGGCTGCAGGAAGAACTGGCAAGCTGCAAGAGGCCTGGACATTTGTCCATCAGTGTAAGGACAAGCAATCTTTATGTTGTTGTCATTCAGCCCAATGTCTGGGATTTGGTTTAATTTCATCATTAAATATAAGTGGTGCTTTTCCAAGAAAGGTCATTGTAAAATTTGATTCAGGAACAGCCTTTTTATTTCTTGATGTGGAGGCAAGTTGTGCTCTACTTCAGGACTCACAGCTACCATGCAGACAACTGTCAGGCAAAGGACAACCTCCAAAAAGAGGATGAAGCAGATATTAAAGCTGCACAATGGATTTTCAAGGTAAGAAAAAAATGCATTATACAAATGTCCCGTGGGAGGGGGTGAAATGGTGTGTCTGGAAAAGAGGAGAAAGAAATATTGATGTCATGAACAACAGCCATAGGTTGTTTATCACCAAGACATCACTATTCATGCAGTTTTCCTTTTTCCTGAGCCTCATCCCCGGCCCTCTGTTCCTCAGCATGTTGCAACCACAGTGACAGAGGAGGTGGTGATCTGCCTTCCCACTAAGTGTCTGCTTTCAAAGAATATAATAAACACATCCATCTAACAAAAATTATTCATACTTTGTGAAGCTAATCTGTTGCTAAAAGAGTGAGGGAAAATATGTTGCTTCATGGTGTTTAGACACTGAAGAGTTTTCGCTGTTTTTTATTTTTATTGGTAGTTGACAAAAGATGGTATGCCAAAGAAATCAAACTGCATAATACTGAAGTCTACTAGGGAGTTACAGTAAATCCTCTTTAGTGAAACTATAGAGTATTCCTTAATTTAAAACAACAGTCATGTATCTTCTAGGTTTTTTCAAAAGCCTGAAAGCTGCCTGAGGGGTGAACTGCTATTATTTTTTTTTTTTTTAATGCATGTTCCTATGCATCTCAGCAAGAGAGGCAAATGCAAGAAACTATCTTATTAAAGCTTTGGGGCAAAGGTGGTGCACCATTGTGCATGATAGGGGAAAGAATGTGATAGCAAAGTCCTGCGCTCCTGGAATCACCAAGGTTGTCTTTTTTCAGACTTAAAGCCAGCATAGAGAGGGGCTAAGGCATCCAGTTGAGTTTGTTGGCAGGGTTGGTGAAAGTTAAGACAGGGGAAGAAGCTGTTCCCAATTCCACATCTGCCTTACAAATATTCAAATTAAAGCTAGAATTGATCTCTCCATCCCATTTCCTTAGCCAAAGTATAACAATTTCTAAGAGGCTATTTCATTTGGTTATAGGAATGCACTCATCAGAAATCCTAAATTACTTTCACTGCTTTTGCTGAGAGAAAATGTTCAGCCTGGCTTGCTGATATCAGAAAACTGTTTCTGATAATGAACAAAGTACCCTCTGTTCAGAATTTCATGCCATTCTGTTTTCTGCCCATTTGGCATATGAGCCTGGGGCTTCTTGACCCTCTTCAAGGCAAAAGGGGTTTTGTCATAGGCCCAATGGCTCTTGAAGTTAACCATTGACAGTCATAGTTTCTGAAACACAGATTCTGAGTTCTTCATAACTCATGTCCCCAGACATTTCTCATTTAGCCATCCTTTAATTCATTGCAGGTGAATTGTTCCCTTCAGCTTGCTGATTGATTTTGTAGATATTGCCTGAATTTGTAGTTTGTTGCTGGGGCTCTGAGAACTTGGTGCACAGTACTGAGTCAGTGACCTCGCAGAGGATAACTAATTATTTTTCTATTCTGCAAAGGATTTGTCTGTAGAGGGACATAAATGCCACTGGAATGTTCAGAGCCAGCTAGTGTCCACAGTTCCTTTAACAACACTGCTGCCAGCTTCCCTTCTCCTGCTTGCTGTCTGTTCCATTTACTTTGTTTAGTGCTTTTGTTTCTAAATGCTGCAGCTCTACTGGTGTGTCTCTTATCCCTGGTAGCAGAGACAGCCTGTAGGGACTGCCCAGGAGATGCTCTGTAGCCACTTTCTGAGCTCAGCTGAGTTGAAATTGCTGGGATGTGGAAGCTCGGGTATGAGGCTACATTCTCTGGGGGAACATGTCTCCAAAATTTCATAAACCATATCAGCAAATGATCCTTTCACATATGTAATGTAAGCAATGTTACTGGTAGCTAATGAGTCTACAAGGATTGTGTTAGTGATAGGAAGTTAGAAAACTTACCCATCCAGAAGTGTGTACAGCCCTAAGGCTGGGGAACTAAAATAAACTGCAAGCTTTACTTCACATAGGTGGGAAATGCCTTTCTCTTTTACTGATAGGGAACTACTGCACAGAGGGTTTACATTATTTTCTAGTAGTATTTAGGAACGTAACTTCAGGTTTGTAAGGTTCAAGACCAGTTTGTCACTTACACTTCCAGAATCAAGGAGATCACATTAAAACTTTTGTTTTCTTTTTAATAACTGCTGGTGACATTGAAATGTCACCAGCAGATGAGGAATGCCTGTCTTATGCTCCACTCCCCACTGCTGGACAAACTCTAGGAACTCCTTGGAGGCATACACTGGGCCATTGTCAGTCTTAATCTCCCTAGGGATCCCCAATACTGAAAAGGCTTGCACCAAGTGTTGTTTGGCATGCACAGCCCTTTCCCCTGCGTGGGCAGAGGCATAAACCACACCTGAGTATGTGTCTATGCTGACATGCATGTATTTCATGCAACAAAAACTGGGAATGTGTGTGATGTCTGTCTGCTACACTTCACAGCTCCCAAGGTCTCGGGGGTTAACCCCAACACCCTGATGATGACACTGCCTGAAGCTGGCAACTACAGAAAGTTCAGGATCTTTTGGTAAAACAATTCTATATGTGACACTGGTTGCTCTAGAGAGATTATATTCTTAGACCTGTAATTTGTGTGACTGACAGGGTCCTTGATCAGAGTGATTCCACAGTCCTCATTAATTCCCGTGCTCCCTTCCACTTTAGATGAGATTTCGGATTTGATACTTCTCAATGTGACTGGTGACTGCTTCTGAGAGCAAGTTGGCATCTAATTCAACATGCCAAAGAGTAAAAAAGCCAAAATATCAAATAAAATTTTCAATTAAAAAAACAAACAAACAAACCCAACAACAAAAACAAACCTAAATATTTTAATGGAACACTTGAATGAGGTTTATTTATTCTTGAATGTGCTTTCAAAGAGAAACTGAATTACAAGAGAAATGTTTTTGAAAAGTAGTGGGTAGAGCTTAAAGGCCTTTTAAATTCTCTTCATGACATTTAAATTAACTCAATGAGTTGTTTGTTCTTATCTCCATTTACATTGCTTAAAAAGCCTTTCTCTCTGGCATGTTTGCATCTTGATTTATAAAAGTGTTAAAAAGCAAAAGTGAATAACTGCTTTTTACCACTACCAACACAAAGATACAAGGACTTTCTTAACCCAAAGCTAACACAGACACATTTATGTGTGCTCCCTAGGAGCTTTTTGCTAGTAAACAAACTAAAACACCCCTGAAACATTATGATGCCTTGCATCATATGTTGCATTGCATAGGGAGATAGTGCAAGGTTTCAAATTTATCACAGTTTCTTTCCCCTATGGACAAAATTTAGCCAAAGTCCTGTTCCACAGAGCTCATTGCTATATTTCCTCAGAAGAGGGTGAGAATGTTCCCCAGAGAGCTGCCACATTTTAGTTCGCGTTCAGATTACACCTGGATAGAACCTGTTTCACTTCTATAACATAATTGTGGTTTCTAAGCATACAGTCTCCAGATTTGGTTGGGTTTACATGAGTAATACACTTACAAATAACAAGGGACAGGGCAGGTGCAGATAGGAAAACAGTGTGAGGGCTCTGAGGGCATTGCTAAGTGTTCATGGCCCTGACCAGCCTCAGCTGGGGCCTCTGCCCTCACCCATGGACCAGCAGCTCTGTTTAAGTTTAGCCCACAGGGCCTGTTCCCTTGAGCTGAGCCTGAAGGGGTGATGGTCTCCAGCCAAGTGACAGCCATGGAAGGGAGCTTCCCACCCTGGGCTGACTTCCTGGCTTGGCCTTGGCTCTCACCTGTCAGTGTGGACTTGCCTGGCAGCTGTGGGACCTGATTGTAAATCTGATCTGAGAGTTGACTTCCACCTTGCTGTGGTACTGTTTTATGATCTGGATCTTTCTTGAATTTGTCTCTATGTTCTGTTTGCCTTGCTCGAGTAGTGGGAGTGGGATGTAGGATCCCTTTGCTTCCAGCTCTCCTTCTGTAGGGGGACAGCCCTGTTCTTGCTAGGGATTGAAGGAGAATCCTTTCCAGCTTCTGCTGACATTGGCCTCACCTGTAAGGGCTTCCTTTCCTCGACAGGGCATGGAGCAGAGAGGTGAAGAACAGCACAGTGTTAAGTGAGGAGGTATGTGCCAAGGAGATGCAGAGAGCCAGTATGAATCCTCCTCAAACAATAACCTGTAGGCTGAGGCACTGTGATACCTGCATGGTTATGCCAGCATGGCTTTCCTGCTTGCCAAGTCCTCTCCATTTAAATTCTGTGTGGGGGACCAGGCAGAAATGGAAATGGCCTCGAGCATGCTGTCTGAAGGAGCGGCCCCAGAGAAGTACGGCATCCTTTATCCTTGCTCTAGCTGATCTAGCTCTGCAGGAATCCTTTGGGTCTGGAGATGTCCAACATTATTCTATGAACTGCTTGTAATGTGAAAGTCACTCATGACCATGCATAGCTCACCTAAATTATTTGGCAACTGCTGTGAAACATCATTTATTCGATAAAATAGGAATCCATTCACAAACAGTTCCAGAAAGGTCAAAAATCATAAAAGTTGTTATTTGCAAAACTTAGGTGCCAGTTGAATAATTGCACTGCTTTTATCCAAGTAGCCCAGTGTCTTCAGCTGATGAGTGCTGGCAGTCATTAATTGCTGTTGCTCTTAACAGTCCCTCTGAAGTCAGATGTTTTCTTTATCTTTTGTAAGAGTAGGAAAAGTCCTGTTATTAGCAAATATACTCACCCTTTTCAGTCAATATCATCTCCACCAAGTATGTTTACAGTATGTTTTTCATACTTAGTCATTTTTGTGTGTTTGAAAGCTTGTGGTTGTCAGAGGGTGTTGAGAACAAACCAAGAACACACTTCTTCTCTTCTTCTGAACAGATCTTGTACACAGTTAAACAGGCTGAAACATAATTGAACAGTCACATATTATCTCTTATGTTTGAGATAGGCAGGGGATGCAAACTCTATGGCTAGGGACTGATCCCCTTTCAGATGCAGCCAGCATTCTTTGTCCATGCCAAAATAGTTATTCTTACACAGCAGATGTAAAATTTGAGACATGTTTGATGCTCTGTTTTATTCAGGAGCAAGGTTTCAAAGGGAGACAGAATTCTGGGAGAGATATAGGAGTATTATGGGGCATTTAGGACCACCAAGTTATGAGCAACTAGTCATACTGACAACTTCTTTGAAGATACAGTGTACTGTTTGATAGGGAAAAGAGTGGGTATTTTGCCAAATAGTTATAGGCTAAGATAATAAAATAAAATCATAAGCACTTAGTTTTAAAGGTAAGCAAAGTTATTTCTAGGACAAGCTGGAGAGCATTATCTCTGTGATGTTCTCTGGTGGTTAATTTAGTTTGCTGGACATGTATCCTTTATAACAATAGTATATCTTGTCCCTGAAGTGCTTTCACTAGTTAAGAAAGGGCTACTCCTGCACATTTTTACAGACAATCAACCTTTATGAGACCTGCAGTGTTGTCTTGGTTTCAGCTAGGACAAACTTAATTTTCTTCCAAGTAGCTGGTGCAGAGCTGTGTTTTGGACTCTGTGAGACTAACTTTACTAACAAAGTGAAGTTTTAGATGTTGCTAAGCACTGTTTGCCCTAAGTCAAGGACTTTTCCATTTCAATGTTCTGTTGGTGAGTGGGTGCACAAAAACTGGGAGGGAGCAGGGCCAGGAGGACTGACCCAAACTGGCCAAAGGGCCATTCCATACCACAGGGTGTGGTGCCCAGAATATGAACTGGGAACAGTTGGCCAGGAGAGGCCAATCCAGCTCTGTGGGTCCTGCTGGGGGCAGTGGAGGAGCACAGTGTGCTGAGACTGGGTCACCCTGCAGCAGACCTAGCCTTGGAAGACATGCACTGAGCCACTGGCTTCACTTCTGTCAGTGCATGGCGCTCATCTCACCACTTGCTGGCTACCCCTGCACAGCCTTGCAGAGATCTTTAGTGTTGGGTTTGGGCTTTTCTTCCCACATTTCCTCCAGGTGTCCATAGTACACTAGTCTGCTCCAGGCAGCTCAAACCATTAAATATAACTCCTTTTAAAACATTATCTTTTAATCTTTAGCATGAAAGTAAGAACAGATGAGTGTGGCTTAAGCAAGAATTGTTCTATCAGACAGAAAAAGTTGTGGTGAGGGTGGTGGGACAGGTTGCTTGGGGAGGTTTTGAAGTCTCTATCCTCAGAGGACTCCAAACCCAGCTCAGCACAGATCTGGGAAGCCTGAGGAACAGGAGGCAAAACAAGACAATATGCAGAGACCCCCTTCCAATCTCAACTATTCTGAGAAACAAAGAGCTCTTCAAAGAGTCGAGTCTTTCTTTTTAAACTTTTCTGTAATTATATGGCATAATAATACTTTTAATTCATAAATTCTTTTTTTTTTTTCTTTTTGCATCCAGAAACATTTTTCAGAGAATAGGTGGCTGTATTGCTCATCATTGTCTATGAGCCAATAATAGCTGCATAGACAGCAATCGGAGGCCATTCTTTTGTAAAAGTTGTCAAAATAATAAGGTGCTACACATTAATGGGTGGATTACTTGCATATTAATGGTGTGCAAATTTTCTAGTCCTCATAGATAATTTGTACTAATTTGCAATAATGTGTTTTTCTAATTTAGTGATTTACATATTTTACTATTGAAATAGTCCTAAAGCTTCCTGTTCACATATGCACCTTTGAAATGGGCAAAATGCAGATTCCTGGGCTGATTAAGATATTGCTGTCAGAAAGAATTTAATTAATATGAAAACCAAAAGGCAAGGTGCTTTTACACTAGTTCTGGAAAATTTTCAGCAAAACAATCCTAGACTGACCTGAATTACCGAGATTGTTTTTATTAATTCACAATGACCTTCTTTAAGTGGAACAAAATGTCATGCTGATTAATAAATAACCTACTCAGCCTAAATCTAGATCAACTCATTTGAGATATGGGCAGCTTTGGGTTTACAAATACATTAATTTACTGTATCCTTTCACCAGCAAGAATTAACAATTTAGATAAAGGATGCTGGGAAAATAAACATTTCTCTGGAGGACCACAGAGACCTTCTTAAAAAGGCATCTAGTCTGGGTGTCTGGGAGCCAGAAGGAATTTACCTTTACTCCATGATATGCCTCTCAGACTCAAACTTGATGAAAGTAAATGACTTTTGGTATAATACAAAATTAAAATGACATACCTTTCTGCATCACCAGCCCAGCATAATGCAGTTGGTGTTGCTATGACTTGCAGCAGTTCAGCCTCTGTGCCATGATGTGTTAGAGATCACCCAAGCATAGCATTCCCATTGTACTCTGATTTATTTCCAATACACCTTATTTCTAATTGAAAGAGGAATTAGTGTATGGGTTTTTTTCAGCTCATATTTCTCAGGGGTTTCTGAGTGCCAGAGGAATCCTGAAGTACCAGATCAGCAAATCCTTCCAGTGACCAGGAGAATGATGTGGGGTGCAGTATCATGGTAATCAGAGGGCTGGAACAGCTCTCCAATAAGACAGACTGAGAGAGTTTGGGTTGTCCTGCCTGGAGAAAAGACAGTTCCAGGGAGATCTTAGTGCTCACTTCCCGTGCCTAAAAGGAGCCCACAAGAAAGCTGGATAGGGACTTTTTACAAGGGTATGGAGTGACAGGACAAGGGGAAATGGGCTGAAACTGGAAGAGACGAGGTTTAGATTGGCTACAAAGAAGAAATTCTTGTCTGTGAGGGTGGTAAGGCACTGGAACAGGTTGCCCAG